CCTGCCTCCCGAGCCCCTTCTTCACAGAGCCTTGACGTCTTGCTGCTTTCACTTCTGCCTCTTTTTCTTCTCTTTCTCTCTGCTTTAAGCCTTGTTTCTGGCACCTTCTACCTCCAAGGTCATTGGTAGGAGTCCCCTGTCCCCTTTGAGAACCATTTCCCCCCTGCCAGGCTGTGGAGCCCCACAGCTCCACCCACTATGCCTTCTCTCACCAGCTCGAGGTCTCTCAGCTGGAAGGGAGCCTCCAGCAGCCCAAGGCCCAGTCAGCCATGTCACCTTACCTCGTTCCTGACACCCAGGCCCTCTGCCTCCACCTCCCCATCATCCGCCAGCTGGCCACCAGTGGCCGCTTCATTGTCATCATCCCAAGGACAGGTGAGCACACTGAGGAGGCGGGAGGGCGGATAGAAGGCGGCTTAAAGGAACTCTGGGCTTGGGGTTGAGACCTTTATTTGGAGCCCAGTTTACACAGTGGCCTTGGTCAAGTACTTCCAACCTGAACCTCAGTCACTTCATCCGTGAAATGGATATGATCTCTTAAATCCTGACTCTCAAGATGGTTGGGAGAAACGGGAGAATATCTAAATGGAAGCAGTTGGTGACTTGCCAAGCACATGCCTGGCAGCAGGTTATGCTTTTGAAGGACTTCAGGAGCCCGTCGGAGCCACGTCCGCCGTCTTTTCCTGCAGTGGGTGCTGGAGGAGCTTGGCTGCTTCCTGAGAGCCCGGGTCACAGACTCCGAGCTCATCTGTTCCCCCCCCCCTTTGCCCACAGTGATTGATGGCCTGGATCTGCTGAAGAAGGAGCACCCAGGGGCCCGGGACGGAATCCGATACCTAGAGGCAGAGTTTAAAAAAGGGAACAGGTGAGTGCGGGCCACCGAGCCCCGTGTCTCTCTGACAGCAAATGCTTGTTTCTCTTGTGGACAAAACACACACTTGGGAGTCCCTGCGCACAGTGTGCTCACTGCTGGAGGGAAAACCAAAGACCTAATAAGCCAAGGTCTCAGGTGCTGAAAGAGAGGGTGATTGGAGGGGCCAGGAGCTGGGGGCGGGGCGGAGGGGGCAGGGGCGGGGCGGGCACTGACCCGCTGACCATTTGCCTCTGGGGCGAACATGAGATCAGCATCTTCGGGGAGAAGGGAGCAAACCCCAGCTCCAGGCTGTGGCACCTTTGCCACGGGGTTGGGGCTGCTGGGGGCTTCCCACCTCCCACTGAAGCCACGTGATCAGATGCAGCAGGTAGGTGCTCCCCCACAGAGGCCTTTCCTTCTGGCCTCCCTGCTAGCTGACACCCCACCCCAGCCCCACCCCCACATCTGCCAGGAAGCTGTACAAAGCCTACTTGTTTGGACCTTGTCTCCAGAAGCCCTGACTTGAAAAGCATCTGGCCCTTCTCCCCTCCCAGCTCCCTGCCCTGGGGGGAACCGAGGAATTGATGTTATCAGGAAGAAAGGCGAGCCAGCAGCCAGGAAACTTGGGAATGGCTCCCAGCAGACCTGTGATGGGAGCGCTGTGCCCCCTCCTGCTCCCGTGGAGCCAGGCCCTGAGCCACAATGGTCAGCTTTGTGTGAAGGGCCCCCAGCTCCACTCTACTGCGTTCTCTGCAGGTACATTCGCTGCCAGAAGGAGGTGGGGAAGAGCTTTGAGCGACACAAGCTGAAGAGACAGGATGCAGATGCCTGGTAACGTTTCAGCCTCCCCCTAGACCACATGTGTCAAACACAAGGCCCGCGGGCCAAATCCGTCCCGCCAGGCCTTGCAATGTGGCCCGCACCGCGCTGTCATCACTGCACTCCGCTGCGTTTCCATCACAATGACAGTTTATGACTGTTCAGTAAACCATTCGGCCCACGATTTAGGCTGGATTTTAGATTTTGGCCCCTTCTCTGATTGAGTTCGACACCCCTACCCTAGACCCTCAGATAGCCGCCTCCTTCGCTCCCCGTGCCACTCCCCGGGGGAGGGGACAGGGCCAAGGAACTGGCACAGGTGCAGGACCAGCCCGGGGCCTCCTGCAAGGCTCCCCTTGGAGGAAGGAGTTGCTCCAGCACCCGGTTCCCTGCGGCCTTCAGACGCTGAGGCTTGGTGTCCTCAGAGCCTTTGCCCACTCCCCAGGCACATCCTCCGGTGCCAGCTTCCTCCTGCCTCGGCTGCCTGGCTGCTCTTGCCCCCTAGCTTCCCTGTGCCCTGGGAATCCCGGTGTTCAGGCTGTGCTGATGGGGGCTTGGCCCACCCCCTCTCCTCCCAGGACCCTCTATAAGATCCTGGACAGCTGCAAACAACTGACGCTAGCCCAGGGGGCCGGTGAGGAGGACCCCGGCGGCATGGTGACCATCATCACAGGCCTCCCGCTGGACAACCCCAGCGTGCTCTCGGGCCCGATGCAGGTGGGTGGGGTGCCCGAGGAGGCTCCCTCCTCATCCAGGCGGGGGCCCTTTCCTCTTCGTCACCCCTGCCCCTCAGCGACTTGTCCGCAGTCCAGGAGACTCACCCCTCTCTCCTGCTCCCCTCACAGGCTGCCCTGCAGGCCGCTGCACATGCCAGTGTGGACATCAAGAATGTTCTGGACTTCTACAAGCAGTGGAAGGAGATTGGCTGAGACTGATTCCCAAGCCCTGCAGTGGGGCTGACTCCAGATCTCCTGCCCTCTGGCTGCTGGGACACCACCTGCAGTCACCCCTCCACAGACTCCGCACGCACTCAGGAGGAAGCCCAGCTGCACACAGGCCGAGGGAGGGCCCCGGAGCCAGCTGGGAGGGTGGGCGCCCCCTGTTGCCAAGACGACGTCAGGAAGTGAGGAAAGTATTTGGAGCAGGAGAGGCCTGTGGGCCCCTAGTCAGCCTTCCTGCTCAACCCTCCTGCTGTCCCCAGAGGCGGGCGGCAGGCGTGGTGTCTGACTTCCCCAGAGTGGTTCCTGGACCTCTGGGGAAGGGGGGCAGAAGAGGCCCTTCCTCACAAAAGGGGGGGATTGGGTAGGAGTTTGGACCCTCCAGTCCTGGGAAGAGGAGGTAGCACCAGGTGTCTGGGTGGTTTTCTGCAGACCCTTCCCTCCTCAAAGACCACCCGCTCTCATTCCCCCTCGTGGGGCCCGGGCCGCCCTGGGGCTTTGGGGACTTCCGAAGAGGGCCCGGAGCGGGCTGCGCTGCACGAGGGCCGGGCTTGCCCCCCTCCCGTGCCGCTGGGCTGCACACCACTCCCCACTCCCGCTCTCCCGCTGCCTGGCCTCCAGGGCAGGGAGCAGCCTCGCCAGCAGCTGCGGGCAGTCTGGCCTGTGCCAGTGAGGGTTCTCGTGCCCGCCAGTCCCACAGTCACTGTGCTTTGTGCTCTTGGTTGCTGTGCTGCACCAGTGGGATGCCAGTGAGGGGAGAGGGGGTGCAGTCTGAGGCCACCACCCCCTCGACTAGCGGAAGGAGAGGCCTCTGAAGCTGCCCAGTCAGGAGCCCCAATCCTGATGGGCTTCCTGCTCCGCCCACCCCAGGACTGGAGGCCTGGTGGGCTCAGCCTGGGGCTCGCTCTTGGGATGTGGTGACTGGAAGCAGAGATCATGGATAGCTCAGGACAGTGAGTGGAGCAGCGAGAGGGGCTGTGGGTGGATCACTGCCCAGGGGTTGAGGGTGGGGGTCCCAGCTCTGCTGCCCCTCACCCCAGCACTAGCCTAGCTTCCCAGGCTGTTCTCAGAGGAGAGCAGACATCCTGCCTCCTCCTCCCAAGACAGCAAGTCTGGGACAACCTGGGAGATAGGGTCACCCCTCCCAATCTCCGACAGACTGAGGCTAAAGCATCATTTAATAAAGACCCCGAAGCCCACCCCGTCTCCAGTGCCTTTCTGCCGTCTTACTGGGAGGTTGGAGATGGGCTAACAAATGGCATTTGGAAAGGTTCCTTCAAGGTGAATGCGTTAAAGCAAGAAGTTTGGAATTTCAGCAAAAGCTCCAGATGTAGTGACATTGTCATGTTCCTTGATCCTTTAAACAGCTGGTGCCTTTGTAAGGGTGATGGGTGAAACAGGACTGTGAGGCCGTGTTGCTGGGTCCTCCGAGTCAAATTTCTCAAGGGAGCAGGGGGTGAGCCTTGAAGCCAGATTCAATCCCTGTCCCTCTGCAAGGCTAGTACCTTAAGTGCGTCTGGGGAGTAAGCTTGGCAAATCCCTTGTGGTTGAACCAACATTTACCAAAGGCATTTGCTCTGGACTCTGCCCAGCACCAGGTGCTCAGGCGGTGAGAGTGAGAGATGGGTTCTGACTCCAAGTCCAGGACTTGGGATTCTCTGCCCGGCCTGGGGGGACCGGAACGGCGGCGCAGCCTGGTCTGAGGGGCCTGCACCGCACTGGCCACACCCTGGCCAGTGCTGGTCTTTGGGTCTGAGTCGGGCTGGAGGGTTGGCTGTGTGCTGAAGGCCAGTGAGCTGCCTGCTAATGGGGTTGGGCCACCCTGCGCTGCTCCCTGGAGGCTGGACAAGGCTGGGATTGTCTTCTGGCTCCTTTGTCTCCTGTTCCCTGGCCTGCTGGCAGGCCACTCTCCTCCCTCCCGTCGGCCTGGCTGGCAGGACACCCGGGCCTGCGGACCCACCTGCTCAGGAGCACCAGTCAAGCTCTGGTAAGGAAGCTCACCTGGGGCTGTCGCCATTCTAGGGAACTGGGACCAGCTCAGCCCCTCCCTCATCTCCAGGGCTACAGCACACTCTACACAGACCTCTAAACCCCAAGCAAGGGAAGGACCCCTAGGGCAGCTACAGCCCAGCCAGCATCCTGCTTTCCCACCCCTCCCCCAGGTCATGGCAGCACTCATGGGTCAGACCACCCCCATCCTACTGGACAAGGAATACCTTTGAGGTCTCAACCAGGGTTGTCTTTGGCCAGCTCAGTCCCTAGGTCAGGGTCAGAGAGCTCCCAAACCATTGGGGGACCCCGATTGATGGTGTGAGGCCCACTGTGAGCCGGTGAAGCTGGTGACAGGAAGGGGCGGGGTTAGGCTGTGGAGTTGCTGGAAAGTTTTGGCCCTGGGAGATGGGAGGAGTGTCCTCCCTCCTCCTAGGGTGGTTCCATCTGCCTAGCTGGCCCAGCCCCACCAATTGTGCCAAGGAATGTGCCTGGGACAGGCGGCCTGAGGCCGGCGGGCAGCAGAGCCACGGCCACCGGAGACATTGCACAGGTCTGGGGCTGAGGGGCTGGGGCTCAGGGACAGAGACCTGAATGTCCAGGGGCACAAGTGTCCTCAGAGAAGAGCCAGGCATCCCCCTAATTCTTGTCCCGGCATCTGGCCTCTCCAGATTCTGGGTGCTCAGCCTGCACACTGGGCCACTGGCTTTTGGTGCTGGTGGGTGGCTCGGGGTCTCTGCACTGACCTCCATGAGTTCGGCTTCCCCTGAGGGAACTGGAGGGCTGGGGGATGGGACTCGGACCGGGGCTGCTGAGACAGTATTCCAGCTGGGGCTGCGGCCCTTCTACTTTGTGCTGGGTTAAGGGGAAACTGAGTTAGGTTGGGGAGGGGTCAAGAAGGCTGGGCCCGCCCCCCTGGCCTGAAGGAAGCAGCTTGCAGCCAGCTATGCTGGCACTCCGTGACCAAGCCCAGCCTGGACCCGGTGATAAGAAGGAGTCTGTGGACCGCAGCAGACACCTGATTTCCTCCCCGCCACCCTCTGTCTCTAGGTCCACGTGGAGGTGCAGGCCACCATGCTCAGTCTCAAGCTACCCCAACTCCTTCAAGTCCACCAGGTTCCCCGGGTGAGGGGCCACACTGGCCGACTCCGACTCCCACTCCCCCGGGGGCGGCCTGGGACTGAGGTTCTCCTTCAGCAATCGGGGAAGTCCCTCCTGCAAGCTCGCTCTCATCCCTCCCATCCTGTCCTCTACGGAGCGGGCGGGTTTAGAATCCCCTCCCCCGAGCACCCTGTCTGACATGGTTTGGCCTTGGGGCCTTTGCGGCCTCCGGCGCTTTCTCTCCAGTCCCTCCTCTTAGCTCTCTCCCGGGGAGAGTGGACCGGCATGGTGACCCCCCTCCCCCCAGGTGTTCTGGGAGGACGGCATCGTGTCCGGCTACCGCCGCCCCACCAGCTCGGCCTTGGACTGCGTCCTCAGCTCCTTCCAGATGACCAACGAGACCGTCAACATCTGGACGCACTTCCTGCCCACCTGGTGAGGCGGCCATCCCGGCCGGCGCCCCGAGGGCGGGAGCGCGGGCGGCTGCGGGCGGAAGGCGGAAGCCGGAAGTTGCGGGACAGCGCGGCCGCCTGAGCACGTGCCGCTGCAGGTACTTCCTGTGGCGCCTGCTGGTGCTCGCGGGAGGCCCCGGCTTCCGGGCGGAGCCCTACCACTGGCCGCTGCTCGTCTTCCTGGGGCCCACCTGCCTCTACCCGTTCGCGTCGTGCTGCGCGCACACCTTCAGCTCCATGTCGCCCCGCGCGCGGCACATCTGCTACTTCCTGGACTACGGCGCGCTCAGCCTCTACAGCCTGGGTGAGGCGGGGGCGGGGCGGGGGCTGCTGGGGTGGGGGTTCTGGGCGAGGAGGGGGGCTGCAGGGGTGGGGGTTTGGGGGGGGAGGTGGCGCGCGGTATTGCGTCCGGAGCCAGCCCTCCGGGCCCCAGCTCCTGCCCCGCGCCCCCCCCCCAAGGTTGCGCCTTCCCCTACGCCGCCTACTCCATGCCGGCCTCCTGGCTGCACGGCCGCCTGCACCAGCTCTTTGTGCCCACCGCCGCACTCAACTCCCTCCTGTGCACCGGCCTCTCCTGTTACTCTCGGTGGGTTCGCGGCCAGTGCGGAGGGGGAGGGCGGAGGGACAGGGCAGGGCGCCGCCACCACGCTTGCACCTGGGATCGCTCTTGAGCAGCATTAAGAGCTATGGGACCGTTTATTGAGAATTCCTGTGTCGGAGCCTGTGCGCTAGCGCCGTACCTGCAGTTTCCCTTAATCCTCCCAGCCACCCGTTTCACAGATGGGGCCATTTACAGAGGGGTCATGTGTCACTAAGCCACATTGGCATTCCATCTTGGTCAGAGGCCTCCTGCCCCCTCCGACGCCCCCCTAGCACCAGGGTGGTGACCAGCCTTTCCCTCCCGCCTCCCAGGTTCCCGGAGCTGGAAAGCCCTGGGCTCAGTAAGATGCTCCGCACAGGCGCTTTCGCCTACCCCTTCCTGTTTGACAACCTCCCACTCTTCTATCGGGTAAGGGCGTAGGGCTCCTGGTCAGGCCCTCGTTTTCCTTGTCCTTTCGGTGCCCCTTCCAGTCCTGCCCCCTCCATCTCACCTCAGCCCTGCTGCCCACCCTCCAGGCCCGGCACCCAGCCTGGCTGTGCACCCCCTCTCCCCCCGCTAGATTCCAGACACAGGTCCATCTCCAGTCCCTCCCGCTCAGCCTGCTTTGTCTTTGCCAGCTGGGACTGTGCTGGGGCAGGGGCCACAGCTGTGGGCAAGAGGCGCTGAGCACCAGTCATGGCTACCACCTGTTGTGCGCGCTGCTCACTGGTTTTCTCTTCGCCTCTCACCTGCCTGAGCGGCTGGCACCGGGACGCTTTGACTACATCGGTGAGAGCAGGCCCCGCCCGGCCGAGGAGAGGGCAGGGGAGACAGCTGCCCAGAGCCCAGAGGTTGACCTGAGTGAATGGTGGCGATTGCAGCCAGAGACAGTGCCCTGGAGGGTCCAGGCCCACCCCCACGCCGCCGGTATCAGCCACATTGGTAGCTTGTATGCTGGGGGCATTGTGTTTTATGCACATCAGCTCATTCACTCCTTCTGGTAGCTCTTGGAACCAGGTTTTCTTATTCCTGCATTTAGGATAGTCGCAGGCCCAGGTGATGGGGTGACTTGCCATGGGTCAGAGAGTGAGTTGGGGCAGCCCTGGGGATGGGGATGTGCCCTCACCTGCCTGCCTTCCCCACAGGCCACAGCCACCAGCTCTTCCACATCTGTGCGGTGCTGGGCACCCACTTTCAGCTGGAAGCGGTGCTGGCCGATATGGAATCCCGCCAAGCCTGGCTGGCCACCCAGGAGCCCCCCCTGGGCCTGACGGGCACAGCGGCCACGCTGGGCTTGGCCGTGGCCGGGAACCTGCTCATCATTGCTGCCTTCACAGCCTCCCTGTTCCGGGCCCCTAGTACATGCCCCCTGCTGCAGGGTGGCCCGCTGGAGGGGGATTCTAACGCCAAGCAGCAGTGAGGGCCCATCTCAGCCTCCCTCCGAGGCCGGCAAAGGGGAGGAGCCCAGACCCAGACTGAAAGGGTGTGGGGCACATAGGAGCCTGGACCCAGAAGTGCCTGAGGGAGTACAAAGGAGGAAAGGACGAGGAGAGGCGCTGGGGCTGGCGGAGAGCAGGAGGGCCGTGAGGTGCTCTTGGGGGAAGCGCTGCGGACCTGGGAGGGGAGGTGTGTGTCGGGCTGGAGGGCCCCCCCTTCCCCGGCAGAGGCTGGGGCGGGAGGTGTCGGGGCCCTTCCACCTAGTCCCGTTTCTGGTGCTCCCTGAGAACTACCAGGACTAACCTAGGCCTACCCTGAGGGCTGTTAGCCAGGCCGGGAGGCCCCCTCTGGCCCTTCCCCCCTGGCCCTCTCCCCCACCGCCCGCAGTGCTGTGTGCTGGCAGCTCTTTGCCCGTGGTGACGCGTCTGTTCTGGTCACAGTCGTGTACTCAGGATGTCCAGCTTTGGGCATCTGGGTCTGTGAGGGTGTGTCATGGGTGGCGGGGAGGGTGCTGGGCCTGAGGGGGAATCCTAGTTAGACTTTAGAAAGCCAACTCAGTGCTCTGGAACGAGGCAGATACAAATAAAAAAGTAACAGGCGCCGGGAAGCACTTCTTGGGACTGAATGAGGTAAAACACGCTTGCCTCCCTCCCTCCCCCCCAGCACCTCCCCACCTTCCATAGACAGAGTCAGACGCCACCAATTTCTCTTCTGGAGTTTATTCTGGAGCAGCTGTGGGGCAGGGGGGCAGGGCAGGGCAGGGCAGGGGTTCTGAGAGGAGCCAGCAGGGGCCGCGCAGGGCCGCGGCTCTAGGCGACGCCGTAGAAGCGCCGGTAGGCCTCCTGGAAGCCGATGTGGTCAGCCAGTTCGTCGCAGTCCGGGTTGAGCTCACACACCTCCCTCTTGGGCTCCAGGGGGTCTGGGTAGGGGGCTGGGGCTCTGACAGCCAACACATGGCATCAGCCTCCACACACACTGCCCTCCACTCCCGCTGCCCCAGGGCCGCCCTGTCCTCCAGCCTCTCTCACCCCAGCCCGGGGTCCAGGTAGCGCCGCAGCCTCCTCACCACCTCACTGCCCTCCTGCTTGGACACGAAGGCTGTGGAGAGAGGGGCAGGGACCAGGTGAGTGTGAGTTTGGGGCGATAAGATGGGGGCAGAGAGGAGCCAGTAGGAAGGGGGAAATGGGACTGAGGGGGCCAGGGTGAAGGACCGGGTGATGTGGCACAAAGCCTGCCTCCTACCTGCTCCTCTGTCAGACTCTGCACCACGGGGCTTTGCATCTGCAAAAGAAAGGACCCAGTTCACCCCTGAAGCCCCCCTCCTCCCCTGCCTCTGGCAGTTTGCTCTCTCCCCTCTCCTTCCACAAGGGCAGGCAGGGCAGATGGACTGCGTCTGCGCTCCTGGAGGAGGAGGTTAGACAGCAAGGGGCTCCAGGGGAGGGTGGGGAGTGCTCCCTCCGCACTGGCTGGGCAGAGTGGGACTCACCCGTCTGGCTGGCGAGGCAGAGTGCGGCCAGGGCCAGCAGGGCGAGGAGCACGCTGGGCTTCATGGTCTCTCCGAGTGGCTCCGGGTCTCTGCTCAGACTCCGCTGTTCCCCCCAGCCTCCAGCGCCATTTATACTCTCTGGCTGCTGGTCATGGTGCGGGCGGGTCGCAGGGGACTCTGCCAGGGCCATTTGGGGTCATCCGCCCCAGATCTATAGGCCAAACCCCAAAGGATGTTGTGGTTGGAACCAGGGCAGCCTGGGCAGGCCCCTGGGCGTGGAGGAGGAGGGTGGGTGGTAACCTGAGACTGCCAGCCTCTGGATGCCCCCGTCCCTCCCTAAGGGGCCCACTCAGGCCCAGCGGTCCTGTCTCTTGGAGACCCAACCTCACAGCGGAACAGGCCAGGAGGGGTGCGGGGGGCCCAGAGAGGAAGGGGCCCAGAGGTCCAAAATAGATCAGAGCAGAACTGGCTGCAGCTCTCGAAGACTGATTGCCACTGTCAGCGTGGGCAGGAGCCAAACCCCAGGGAGGGAGTGCCCGTGATGGCCTCAGTCACCCTCGACACCGAAGGCAGGCCTGGTGTGGGGGCGGCTGTCTGGTCAGGCCCTGGGGGCCAGGACAGGAGATGGTCAGGTAGCACAGGGCCAAGAGCCAGCACGGGGGGCGCTGGGCATGAGGGCGAGGACAGCCCTCGGCAGGGCAGGCCAGGTGGTCAGTGGCAGGGCCCCTGAGGAGCAGGGAGATGAGCACAGCGGGCTCCCGACCCTCTGCTCCTCTTCCTGCCCTTGGGGGCTCCTCCTCTGAAAACCCCATCCCACCCTGAGCTCCGCTTCTGCCTCAGCTCAACCTGGAGAGGAGGGGGTGACCTCACTCACCTGACAGAACACACTATGGCTGGTGGAAGAGGATGGGGGGCAACTGGATGGTTGCAGGCTGCAGCTCCAGGGGGAGAAGAGCCGTGGGCTCAGTTTGGGGGTTGGAGGGGTGGCAAGCAGGGCCACCCGATCCACCTGATGACTTCCTGAGTCCCAGTGCTCCCAGGCAGACCCAGCCCAGCCTCCAGTTAGGGTGAGGCCCCTCCTTCCCCCGGTCTGGAGGCACCATCTTGCCTTGCTGAGCCCCTCCTGATGCTCTGTGGGCCCCGGGCGAGGGAAGCCTGAGAAACGAGGACTATGTGCCTGCTCTGTGCACACTCACCAGACGAGCGAGGCTGAGGCTCGGGTGAGCGCTCAGGCCCGTCCCTTGGTCAGGTTAACCCAGGCTCGCGGTGGACAGGGCTGTCAGGGACGCTCGGAAAGCTTGTCCCGGCCTCAGGACCTGGGCCCTGGTTCTGTGATAAGGAGCATCACTGCCCTCTGCACGTGCAGCCAGCCACCCCCCAAGACTGGGCCTTCGGTGAACTGCAGTGGAAGCCTCTCGGGGTCAGGACTTGGGAGCCCAGGAGGGGGTCTTGGCCCACAAGCGTCCCAGATGGCGGAAGCACCCCACAGATTACAGTGCAGCGGAGGAAGTTTATTTGCGGATGTGGAGACATGGCACGGCCTCAGCTGGCCAGCAAAGGGGCAATCAGTGGAGATTGGAAACAGATTTCCCGGCCAGGTCCTGGGGGGTAAGGCAGCGCAGGCCTGTGTGGTGTGGTGGGAGAGGCACGGTGTCTGAGTCCGGGGGGATCTGGCCAAGCATCCTCAAGCTGGAAGAAACAGGTTCCTCAGATGCAGTGGCAGTGGGGACGCTCACCCCTCGTCCCCCAGCAGATTCCATCATCGCTCAGGCCGAGGCAACACGGCAGCAGCTGTGCTCAGAGGCAGCTCCCTCACTCCGGCTCCCTCAGCATGGCCACCAGCTCCTTCTGTCCTCGGTGCAGGGCCTGCTGTCCATGGAGAGTAGAAATCGGGAGAGGGAAAACCCGAGTCCTTTCCATCTGCTGTCCTCACCTCCAGGCCTGCGCCCCCAATGACAAGGGCCTGGCTCATGCCAGGACCCGCAGGGCGTGGAAGGCAGTCCCTCCCCCGACTCTCAGCAGGTACTGGTCGCAGGCTGGTGCTTTGGCCACTTAGACTGGGCCTCCCCAGAACAAGAGCCCATCGTCAATAAGGGCCCCAAAGTGTCCCCACGTCTGACCCCTCTCGGTCTGCTTTCTTCTCTGCTGACGGGACAGGGTCCTGAGGGCAGGGCCAAAGCACTTACCTGCCAGGCCTGCCACTGCGCCTGGCCCTGCAGCTGCAGCTCCTCCACCTGCCTGCGCCCGGCCAGCACGGCCTCGGCCAGCTGCCTGTTCTCGGCCTCCTGCTTCTGCACCCGGCGCCGCAGGGCGTCCCGCTGCTGCAGGAGGCAGGGCCCCGTGGTGCTGCGCAGGTCTTTCTCTGGGACCCCACTCGGGCGCCTGGAGCGTGGCAAGGAGCACAGGGTAAGACGGCGGAGGACGTCTGGGATGAGGGTTCCACTTCCAGCTCTATAGTCAGTGATCCTCCCACCTCAAATTGGACTGGCTTTTAAGGTCTCTTCTGGGTTCCTCCTCACTTCTTAAGACCCAATCACGTCGCTCTGCTCCTGATGGAAACGCTAACCTCTGTCCCTCAGCTTTGGTGCCCAGGAATCCACCGCCCCTTCTCACGTCACCTGTGTCTTAGCCTTCCTACCAGTCCCCCACATTCTCCTCCTGCCCACGCAGTCCCCATCTCGAACACTCCAGAGGTAGAGGTGACTTCAGCCTTCCCTCTGCTGCTGACCATGTGCTCTGATGGAGCACTCACTCTAGCTGAGCTGGAGAGGTGGGGGTGGTGGCGGCGGGATGAGCCCTCCCAGAGGGAGAGAGGCCTGGGGAGGGTCCTGGGTGCCCAGAATGAGGAGACAGGTCAGTTCTGATAGGCACTGGGGTGGAAGCCATATAGATTCTTTTTAAGTTTGTTCAGTTTTAAAACCTAATTCTTCTAAGTATTAAGATCACAAAGCATAAAGACAATTGGAAAGCACAAAAAGGATATTTACTTCCTCTGGACTAGGAGTCCTGTTCAGGCAGGGGAGGGTGGGCGAGGCAGGAGCTCGGACCGTCCTGGTCTCACTGGCCTCGGCTCTCCCCTCCTTGTCCCAGAGCCCTGCCCTCTGTCCTGCACAGGAAATGCCAGGCAGCAGGGCTGCCCCTGAAATGTCAGCTCAGGAGAGGCAGGTCTTTTCTTTGTCCTGTTCTTTGTTGAATCTCTGGCACCTATTGGGTATATATAGTCCATGCTCCCTAAAATTTGTTGAACAAAAAAACCCCAAATGTCTGGGCCAGCCTAAGGAACATCAGTTTCCAAACCGATGGTTCTGCCTCCTCCACCCTCTCCTTTCACAGGCCAGGAAGGCTTCCCTCCGTCCGCCTCAAACCCCTGCACACGTACTTGCCCTGGGACTCTTCCCCAGAGGGGGCTCTGCTGCTCACTGATGGGCGTTGTGTGGTGTCCACCTGTCACAGGGTCCTCTCCCCGTGAGCCCAGAGCCTCATACCTATGGGTTCCTCATAAAAGCTCCCTCAAGCTTTGGCTGATGTTGCTCAATGGTTAAGTGTCAGCCTGGGCACATAAGGGTCATGGGTTCGATTCTGGTGCTTGTGTGCGGGAATCAGTGTTTCTCCCTCCCGTTCTTTTATTTTTATTTAATTATTATCTGTACATATTTTACCATTGTGCCCCCCCCCCCAAAAAAAAAACCAGTGGAAAAAACATCCTCGAATGAGGATTAAGAACAACAAAAAGCTTCAAGATGCTAAGCTGCTGCCCCTGCCTCTGAGCTCTCCCGTGGTCCTCCTCACCAGGCTGGCTCCTTCCGGCCTTTGCCTTCCTCCACAATGGTGTCCAAGGCAGTCAGGACAGCTTCCAGGTTCCCCTCTGCTTTGATTTCGGAGATTTCCTCCTGAAGAGAAGGAAGAAAGGGCAATAATGATACTAGGCTAACTGCATTTAGTATGACTTGGGCTAAATTCTGTTTCTTTACACATTCTATTTTTTCTACATGTGACTTTTACATTAAGGAAATAAAGATGGACCCTGGCCGGGTTGCTCAGTTGGGTGTAGTATCCTGATACACCAAGGTTGTGGCTGATGAATACATAAATAAAAACAAATCGATGTTTCTCTAAAATCAAAGGATAAAGTGGAAGACATTTAAAAAAAAAATATATTTTTACAGAGAGAAAGGGAGAGGGATAGAAACATCGATGAGAGAGGAACATTGATAAGCTGCCTCCTGCACACTCCCCACTGGGAACGTGCCCGCAACCAAGGTACCTGACCTTGACCAGAATCGAACCCGGGACCCTTCAGTCTGCAGGCTGACACTCTATCCATGAGCCAAACCGGTTTTGGCAAAGTGGAAGACATTTTTAAAAAGCCTGCAGTAAGCCCCTCTCCTGCCCACCTGAGCGCTGCAGGCCTTGCCGTTACCCCACATAAACGTGGATGCTCAAGAAGCCCATCCTGAGGTGTAGCCACAGGACATTTAATTCTCAACCTTTCTAATGCCGTGACCCTTTAATACAGTTCCTCATGTTGTGGTGACCCCCAGCCATAAAATTGTTTTCATTGCTACTTCATAACTTAGGCGATCCTGCTGCTGTAGAGCCTAAGACCATGGGAAAACACAGATATTTACGATTCATAACAGCAAAATTACAGTTACCAAATAGCAACGAAAATAATTTTGTGGGTGGAGGTCACCACAACACGAGGAACTGTATTAAGGGTCGCGGCATTGGGAAGGGTGAGAACCACTGCTCCAGAGAGAGAATGGGATCCTGTCCTTTTCTGTGTTTCCTCTGGGATGCAGTTCCAACTATTGGTTAGATGCTGCCTCTGTGCCAGGCATTGCACCAGGTGCTGGAGAAACAAAGAGTAAGACCCAGACATGCCCTCACTGAACTCCCAGGTCTAGTGGGCGGACAGCATGTAAACACAATAAAGATGTGGCATTAAGGTACCCGCACGTTTGAAGGGAGGGAAACTGCCCCTGCGGCCGGACAGCACGCTAGGGAGGACAGAAAACAGTGGAGGGTGGGGTCCCTGCCTCCAGGGCTGAGAGTCTGGGGCAGGGCCCAAGCCAGCAGTAGCGGCCGGGCTTCTTGTCACTCACCCTGATAGATGTCTGCAGCTGTGTTATGAACTTGTCATAGATTCGCTGTGTCATCTCAGGCTGCAGCTGGTAGAAGCGCTTATAGCAGTCGGAGAATCTCTGGTAGCTGGTGGGAGAGCGAGAAGGCAGAGGTGGGAGGGTCAGACACACCAGTCATCAGTCGTGGCTCTTGCCTGCCACCCCTTTTGTTTTTTAAACTGTCCTAAGCGTCAAATCACCAGTTTTTTAAAATTCCCACCGATCGCAGGCCCTGGCTGGGTAGCTCAGTTGGTTAGTGTCATCCTGATACACCAAGGCTGCAGATTTGATCTCTTGTCAGGACACATACAGGAATCACTGGCCTCTGGGATTCCAGGGCTGAGAGTTATCGTGGGAATCATCTGTACGTTGGGGGGTGCCCTAGCCAGTTTGGCTCAGTGGATAGAGTCTGCCCATGGACTAAAGGATCATGGACATGTATCTCGATTGCAGGCTTACTTCCTGGCCCTGGTTGGGGTATGTACATAATGCAACGTTAGGAGTACTTATACCTCAGAGACTGACAAACCCTGAAAGCCAGGGTTTTACTCTGAGAGCTGGTTGTAAGCATCCAAGAGTTCACCTCTTGGTAAGGGTGACGAACCTCTTGCCTTTTTGGCGGTACATATTTGATGTTCGTACACTTGGAGGCTAAACCTGGGTAACAAAAGGACAACACAAAGAACAGATGATGTGCGTCCTTTCAACCCTTAGCAGAATTCCAGACATCTTGTGTTTTTGTTAATTGATTTTTTTAGAGAGCGAGGGAGGGAGAAACATCCGATTGGTTGATTGGTTACCTCCCATACATGCCCCAACTTGTGAAGGAACCTACAACCCAAGTTTGTACCCCGACAGGGCATTGAGCCTGCAACCTTTTGCTGTGCAGGACGATGTTCCAACTGAGCCACACCAACTTGGGCGACATCTTGTTGTCTTGCTGCTGGCCCTACTCGCCACGCAGTCTGGCCACATGAAGGAATGTGGAGAGACACATGATGTCTGACCACGTGGGGCTGGAATCGAAACCAGGTCATTGTGGCTAGAAACGGATTTGGCTTGGATATGGGAGCTCTTGTTCCTCCCAGCCCACTCGACAGGCAGAGGGTTTGAGCTGGACACATCTCTCCGCAGCCCAAGCAGCTGGCAGGGGAGCGGGCCCAGCGAGGCCAGTGTCAGTAAGTACAGGAGGAAAGCCATTCCTTCCTTTGCCCCAGCTTTAAGATATAATTGACAATAGACTAAGATGTACAGAATAATGATCTGACTTACGTGTATTATGAAACAACACAATTAGTTAGCACCCTTTATCTTTTGTAATAAAGGAAAAAAGTAATAACTTGTGATGAGAACTCTTTTTTGTTTTGTTAATTCTCACCTGAAGATATTTATCCCATTGATTTCTAGAAATAGTGAAAGGAAGGGGGGAAGATAGAGAAAAATCTATGTGAGACACAATCATTGGTTGCCTCCTTCACGAGCCCCAGCTAGCGCTGGAGATTGAGCCTGCAACTAAGCTCTGTGCCCCTGATTGGAATCAAACCTGCGACCCTTCAGTCCTAGGGCGATGCTCTACCCACTGAGCCAGACTGGCTAGAGCAGGATCCGCTCTTAACAGCTTTCAAATCTACCATACAGCTGTGTTAACCAAAGTCGTCATGTTGTACATTAGATTCCTTGAACTTACCTTTTTTTTTAAACTTATAATGGGAAGCTTGTACATTGTGACTACCTTCATTTTCTCCTCCTTCCCCACCCCCCACCCCCCACCCAGTGATTCCTTTTTGAGAGCGAGCTCGCACTTGGGATGATGTGAATGCTGGTGCGAATTTCCTGAGAAAATGTCCTTGGGGCTCTGCAGGGTGCCCAGACAGTGTTGGATACGTGGTAGCACACAAGACGCTGCAGACCAGGCACCTGCCTGGCCCCAGACTGACCCACTCCCACCCTGGCAACCGCTCCCCCCCCAACCTGAACCCCAGGATACCAGGGTTTGGGTAAAAAGAATTCTACCACAACAGCCCCCCCTCCCCCCAGGCCTCTCTGCCAAGCCCCTCTGCCCTCTGCCGGCATGATCTCCCAGCCCTGGCCTCCCACGGGGCCCGGCGATGTGCTGGGTCAGTGCGCTGGCTCTGAAGACAGACTGCCTGGGTTCCAGTCCTGCCTCCTCCATTCATCAGCTGAGTCATCTCAGACAACTTATTTACCTCTACAAACCTCAGTTCCTCTGTCAAGTGGGGATAATACTGTGTTTATAACTCATAAAATTACTGTGAGGGTTAAACAAGGTTACATATCTAAGTAGCACAATTCACAGCACACAAACGCTGCATGTAAGCCACAATTACTATTATTAGTCTCCAAAGAACAGTCCTCACCCTCTCCTCCCCCGCAGAAGACAAGTGCTTAGTAAAATACAACCTGATTACAATTGTATGTGCAGAAACCAACCCAGCTGCAGGAAGAGCAGACTGGCCCCACTAGAGAGAAAACATTAAATTGTGGCCCCTCCTAAAAAGGGCTAATTCATCATCCATAAAAGTAAACTTAAAAACCGGTATTTACCCAGTTTCAAAACAGAAATGACTATATTAACTGATTTTAACATTTATTTTTTTCCCTCTTAAATACTTATGTAATATTTGAGACATGTCTGTCTTTTTAACTCACTTTGTCAGCGTTTATTGCATTTTTTAAAAACTCACTATAAATTGAATTTTCACTAAGTTTAACTTTAAAAATTTGACTTCAAAATATTTCAGCCCAGAATCAAGCTCTGGTGATTTGTCCATGCGTTATATACGCAGAGAGATTGTGCGGAATGGAAAGACAAGAGATATACACAAGTAAAAATGCGCTCCTGTAGTGCTCAGGGGCCCTGGCTTACACTTCCCATAGTATAACAACTTGCTTGTTGCCCAACTGAAGGCCTATTTCACAGACTGTCCACCAGAGGGCAGTGAGGGACTGGCGCCTCAAGCTAGCGATGGACGGAAATTCATACCCTCCACCCTCTGCACAGCTGCTCTTTTCATTAAATGTTTCTCTTGTCTTTTTCCCTCTCCCCTTTCTCATCCTTTGTACAGTAGGCAGCCCCAGGACTGAGGAAGAAAAAGCAGAAAAAACAAACAGAAATGTCCCTCAATGAAAATAAGAAGTCATTGATTTATGATGAAGACTGTACTTAAAAATGTCATTTGGGAACCAAGATAAATGTCTGTACTGTACTCGCCTGCCACCCACAACCACATCAAAATTGTTCCAGGATTCCAGAGCAGAGTATAGAAACTGAGGCAGGAAAGTTAAAACAAGGCCAAACCGAGTGGGCAATTTGCAGCCAGCTTGTAACTAACAATCCATTATCTTCCCCAGCTGAGGACACAGCCAATGGTAAAAAACAGCCGGAACCGGTTTGGCTCGGTGGCTAGAGCATCAGCGCACTGAGGGTTCCCAGGGTTGAGGGCATGCACCTTGGTTGCGGGCACATCCCCAGTAGGAGGTGTGCAGGAGGCAGCTGGTCGATGTTTCTGACTCTCTATCCTTCTCTGTAAAAAAAAAATAAAATTTATTTTAAAAAAACACCACCACCTCCCTCATGAGAGAATGCAGAAAGGCAAGGGGCAAGGAGGAAGGGGAAAAAGGACCATTTTACTCTAAGCAGAGAAGCCAGCAGTCTCAAGGCTTGGTAAGATAAAAATTGCCAGGTGCTTTTCAAGAATCTATACCAAAATAGAGCAATTTTGAAGCCTATTGACAGGAGGGTATAAAACGCCTCAGACCCCCACCCAACTTGCTCGTCAGTTAGTTGAGAACCCATCTGTGCTTCATAAGTCATATATGTGTTTGCTTGCTTTGCTTTTCCTTTTTCCAATAAAGATGCATGCTTTAATAAACTGGTTTTTCACAACGCAATCAGGGTCTCCTATAAATTCATTTATATGAGAATCAAGGTGGGGACAGCCTTCTCCTGGCTCAGGAGGCTGTCTTGTCCAGTAATACCTCTCGGGTGTCAATGAGAGGTGTCTATAACAGAATTACAACTAAAATACAGAACTATCATTCAAAACCACCTGAAAGCTGGTTGAATGGGAGGTCTACAACTAGAAGTAAAAAAGAAAGCGCCTTGAGAATGGTAGGAAGGGTGAAAGCAGGAACAGGCTGGTCTGATACCCACGTGTGCCAGTTATCTTAGTCAGGAGGGAGATCGTCTCTGCAGAGGCTGTTCATGAGGAGCAAGGGGCCCCAGCCCCACACCAGACCCCAAGCTCAGGTTCCCAGAGCTGGGAAGAAAAGTCCCCACAACTATGGGGATTGAAGCTGAGTGACACGAGGACTGTGGAGAACCAGGTGTTCCAATTTAAAGGGCCAATGCACAAACTTAGAACTTGAACTCGCAGCACCAGGCAGCTTTGAGGGACGCAAGGTCATTGCTCCTGTACTAGGACTTCCCCTGTTGCAGGGCTGACTGGCAGCCATAGCTGAGCACACTGGAGCACACTGTTTGCTCTGCCCCGGTGATTCCCTGAGACCTGCCCCATCCAATTCCCAGTCCCACTAAAGCTGTCTGCAGCAGTTTTTCTATACGAATGGCCTGTCCTGGCTCAAGCTTCAGCCTGCTAAAGTCTGTCCAACAAGCTGTAGCTGGTGACAACATGCCCAAAACTATCAACAAAAGGCCTAAGATCCAGCTCAGTGACTGGGAAAGCTGAGCCACTGGGCCCTACTACACAAGGAAACTACCAGTTTCAGGAGACACAGCAGCCCAGGCTCTAGCTATGGGCATAGCCACGGCCCAGTGTGAAGACGTACAAACAGGAAACAGTCTGAGCGCTGGCTGGAGCCGGGTGTTACTCTAAGGACTGCACAGAGTAACTCATCTTTAAAATAACTTTCCCTTTAAAATGTTATGTTTGTTTATACTGATCTTAGGAAGGGGGGGTCATTGATGTGCATGCACCCCACACACACATACGTCCTGATGCAGAACAACCTGCGCATGTGTCCCACCAGAATTAAACTGGTAACCTTTCAGTGCACAGGACGACGCTCAGTCAAATGAGCCACACCCTCCAGGGATGGAGTAACTAATTTAAACCTCACTGACTTTATGAGGTGGGTTCTATAATCATCATCCCACTTTGAGAAGAGAAAGCTGAGGCAGAGAGCAGCTTGCCCGAGGCCATGCAGCTGGGACATGGTGGAGCCATCTGGCTCTGGCTCAGGTGCCCTTTGCCGCCATGGCACGCAGCAAGCAAGGGAGGGCCAGACACAGTCTGGACTGTATCGTGACGGAAGGAGCTAGAAAAGGGTTCTAAGTAGGGTTGGAACTTCAGATGCTTTCCTCAGACTGCTGTGTGAGGATGGATTCAAGCAGCACTGGTGACAGTGATGGCAGACTCAGCAAAGCAGACACTGGGGGTAGAGAGTAGAGTGGAAACATGAAGAACAGAATTAGCATGATGGAGCTGAAGCTGCAAACCACAGTCTGATGAGTCATACCCACTTCAGAAATGAATCAGCACGCACCATCTGCACATTCAAAGAAAGATATTTCTGAGGCAATTATTTAGAATTATTTATATATTTAACGACTCCTTTTCCTGTGAAGAACTGTTTTCTGTGAACACCAATAGTCTTTGCCACTAGTTTAAAACTACCGGGGGAAGGGGGAGGGGAGGGGAGGAGGAAGAGGGGAGGCTAAAGAGAAGTCAAAATGACTTAACAATTATTTGAGGAAAGGCCCAAACCTATGAGGAAATCAATGACATGCAAATTCAAACAATAATAAAATATCTCTTTCACAACTTCAGAATAGCAAATGTTAGAATGGTGGGTGCCCAGTGATGATGGGGATGTAGGAGAGATAGGAATGACGTTTCTGGAAAGCAGTTTGAGAAAATGCAGGTGGACCCAGTGATTCCTTTCATTACAGACCTCAGATATGCGAGGACTGCTCCCTGAGGGGATGGACAAGGACACTCACCTGGTGTAATCTGTCGAGGCAAAGTGTCCATAAGAGGCAGTAAGGACTGGATGCTTCTCATGGAATGATCAGTAGTGTTGAAAAGCTTTGAACCATATGCACTTACAGGACATGGTTAGATGGTTTTAAAAAATGGTGTTGACTGTTAGTAGGAATGCAGACTGGTATAGCCATTATGGAATATATTATGGAGTTTCCTAAAAATATTAAATGTAGAACTGCTGTTTGACCCAGTGATCCCACTTCTAGGACTAGATCCAAAGAAACCCAAAACACCATCATAAAGAATGCATGCACCCTTATGTTCATGCAGCACGATTTACAATAGCTAAGATCTGGAAACAGCCGAGACCGGTTTGGCTCAATGGATAGAGCGTCGGCTTGGGGACTCAAGGGTCCCGGGTTCGATTCCAGTCAAGGGCATGTACCTTGGTTGCGGGCATATCCCCAGTAGGGGGTGTGCAAGAGGCAGCTGATCGATGACTCTCTCTAATCGATGTTTCTAACTCCCTATCTCTCTCCCTTCCTCTCTGTACAAAATCAATAAAATATATTAAAAAAAAAAAAAAGATCTGGAAACAGCCAAGTGCCCACCAGATGAGTGGATCAAAATGCTACAGTATATTTATGCCATGGAATATTATGCAGCAGTAAAAAAAGAATCTCTTACCATTTGAGATAGCATGGAGGGACCTGGAGAGTATCACACTAAGTGAAATAAGTCAGAGAAAGATAAGTATCACATGATCTCACTCATATGTTATTTTAATTAACAAAATAAACTGATGAACAGAGTGGATCCAGAGACGTGGAAGCATGGACAGTGTGTGGCACCTTGGAGGGAAGGTGGGGGAGGGCAGGTGGGTAGGTGGGAGGTCATCAACCAAAGACCTTGTATGCATGTATGCACAACCCATGGACACAGGTAACAGAGTGGTGAAGGCCTGGCTGGAGGGGGAAACGAGAAAAAGGGGACATATATAATATTTTCAACGATATATTTTTTAAATAATTTTTTAATGGTGTTGACCCTATAGTGCCCTTCAAATTAGATGTGTGTTTAGTGTGTGTTATATAATTTGTGGTTCCTTTACCCAACATGCCTACTCCAACTTTTTTTCTCTAATCAATGACATCCTGGGATCCAACGTATAAATCTAGTATTGCATATCTTGTGCATAATAATTCTAAAGGAGATTACTTTGTTATTATCTCGATACATATCAGAATAGTGCACACTGCCATTTAATATTAAGTCTACTAATGAATGCAGCCAACTATCCAAGTTCACACCAACTAAAACACAAAATAAACCCTGCACAGTGAAAAAAAAAGTGTTAAGTGAAAAAAGATATATAGCACAATTATTCATATAAACTTAATACACAAAACAACACATTGTACAAGAAAACAAACATAATCAAATGTCACTTCACTGCACTCACACTAATCCTTCCCCACTTCTATTCCTTTACTATTTTTCTTTATTGCACTAGAATGTCTACTCCATGAGAGCAACAACCATCTGTCTTAATCACTTATATCTCCAGCTTCTAGAACAGAGCCTGGGACATTGCAGGTTGTTGATAAATATTTGTACATGAATAAATGAAGAACATACAGTCAAAAGAAAAGAAGCAGGGCCTATGGGGAAGGGAGATGAGGGAAAAAACGAGTAGGGAAATATCAAAGGAGGAATCTTGCCTGCACATATAATAGTGTCATAAATGGTCTGTAAAAATAATTATTTTATCAAATTCAATACTGTTGAAATTAGACCCTGAATGATAAGGAAGTCACCTGTCTGTCCAGCCTCCTGATTTTTTTTTTTTTAAATATATTTTATTGATTTTTTTACAGAGAGGAAGGGAGAGGGATATAGAATTAGAAACATCTATGAGAGAGAAACATCGGCCAGCTGCCTCCTGCACACCCCCTACTGGGGATGTGCCTGCAACCAAGGTACATGCCCTTGACCGGAATCGAATCTGGGACCTTTCAGTCCGTAGGGGTCTTCAAACTTCTCTCATTATGAGAATCACCTGGTGGAAGTGTTAAAACACAGATTCCTGATAGCACTTCTTATAGTTGGGATCCGGGAATCTGTGTTTTAACAACTCCACCAGGTGATTCTCATAATGAGAGAAGTTTGAAGACCCCTGGTATAGACCGACGCTCTATCAACTGAGCCAAACCCTTTCGGCGAGCCTCCTGATTTTAATCTCCCTCTGATCATTATGTTGTAGCCAACCAGTTCCTAGAATGCCCTGACCATCTTGGGGCCTTTGCACAAGCTGTACCCTTTGCCTATACACTTCTCTAGCTCTTTCTCTCACTGTTCCAGTTCCAGTTTAATGTCACTTCCTCAGAGTGGGCTCCCCTAACCAGCCTGGCTAGTGCATTCCTTTCTCCCAAGTTGCTCTTATCACATCACCTGTTATCACATTACCTTACCAACCTCTGTGATTATTTTGTTTACTGAATGTCTCTACCCACTGAACATAAGCTCTAATATGGGCCCTGTCAGCTTCACCAACACCTTGACAACACTTGGCAGAAGAGGCACACAAATATTTCTCAGTGGTTGAGTTGACCTATGAACCCAGGAAGTCATGGTTCAATTCCTGGTCAGGGCACGTGCCCTGGTTGTGGGATGGACCCCGTTGGGGGTGTGTGTGTGTGTGTGTGTGTGTGCAGGAGGCAGCCGATCGATGATGTTTCTCTCTATCCCTCTCCCTTCTTCTCTCCAAAAAAATCAATAAAAGATATTTTAAAAATGTATTTCTCAGTGAATCAATGTGTGAAGAAGTGGATAAATGAAAGGAGGGAGGGAAGAGCTCGAGGGAAGGTATTAGGAGAAGACAGGATTGGGAGAAGGTGGGAGTATTTTTTAAAAGATTTTTAAAACTGAATTTTAGAGAGAAAGGGGAAGGGAACCACTGATCCGCTCCCTCCTGCACATCCTTAACGGGAATCAAACCCACAACCCTTCCCTGCAGGCGAGGGCGCTAACGGACCGCCTAACACCTGCCAGGGCTCAGCTGGTTTCCTGATGAGACCAGAGAGAAGTGGGACCAACAGGGCCGGATGGAGAACAAACCGCTGTAAGTAACAAGTGTTTCCTCGTCAACGTGCCGAGTGGTGGGATCACGGGCAACTCAGCGTCCAATATCGTTACAATACTGTTCATAGGAATTAAAAATCAAGACAGGAAAACGATTCTGTAACACATTTGGTTCTCACAACCACGCAGGGAAGGCATTCTTCCCAGAACTACAACTCTAAGGCTTCCTATGTGGCAGGCATATCCAAGCGCCTTTCGTGCACTTAGTTCTCAAAACTATCGCTGAGAAAGGCCCAACTGTTGCCATTTTCCCGAGAGCGGAGGTCTTGGTTCTAACTCCGAAGCCCGTCTTTCCTCCCGGCCCTGAAGTTCGGGTCGGAACCAGCCGGTGCCGTTCCCGGTCAGCACCCATCACGTGAGCCGCTCTCGCCCGGCCCGCCCGCCGGCCAGTGACCCCCACCCGGGGCCCACGTGACCGCCGTTTGCGGACCCGGCCCCCCGGGACCCACCTTCCGGCGCCCAGACTCGCTCCTGTTCGCCTCCCACCCGTCAACCTCTTGTGAGATTGGCCCTCCTTCCACTCCCTTCACCTTACCTCCCAGCGGCGACCAGCTTCTGGAGAAAAGTATCCACTGTGGTGTCGAGAAGCTTTACCCTCGAAATGGCAGCGTCAGGGTACCCGGGTTCGGGGGACGACCCCTCAGGCCCTTTTTCCTCACAGCCGCTGCCAACACTGGCGCTGCTTGCTTCGGCCATGTTAAACTGGAACCGCCAAATATAACGGCCCGGATGTCCCGCCCACCGAAGCCCCCGATTGGCCGCTCCCGGCATTGGGCGCGTCCGATTGGAAGTAGCGGAATGTCCATCACCGAGTCGCCGACGGGGGCGGGGAAACTGCCGGAAGCTGAGGGTGGTGCACAGGTGAGGACGGTGTAGCGCGCTTTAGTCCTTATCCACAGGCCGGTAAAATAAGCGCCAGCCAAAAGCTTAGGGCTTAATACAAACTTTTAATTACACTTCAAAGACTTCGTACAATGCAACAGTGAATGAATGTCCGCAGTTAATATTCACAAGAGTCCACTTTATCAAATGTTAACCGCATCTATTTTCATTCCCGATCCCTCAGTACTCCCATCAGGTTCCTGTCTTGCCTGGCCTCCGAAGTTTCTTCCAGTTTTGGCTACGGGACCGGCACATCAAAACTTCCAGCTGGCCCGTTCTATGGTCCTGGGAAAGCGGAAACCCTCTGTCCCAGTACCACCAAGACATGTTTTATTCAAACCCAATTAAGGAAGTAGGGGGCTGGGGTTCCATTCACTAAAAACAAACTCATCCTTTGAAACTTGAGTGCGTGTGTGTGTGTGTGTGTGTGTGTGTGTGTGTGAGAGAGAGAGAGAGAGAGAGAGAGAGAGAGAGAGAGAGAGAATGGGTAAATGGCTATGAAATACTGTACAATAAATCAGAAGGAAAGAAGTCTGGGAAGGAGAAACATCCTAAGGCATGAGAGGCAGGAGACTACCCCCTGTTCATGATACTTTACCCACTTTGCCACAGTGGGGACAACTTTCTAGGGAGGGGAAGGTGTGGGGATGAAAAACAATCTCCAAAAGGGTCACTAGAGTGACTTTAAAGAGAGGAGGCTGTCCTCACTGGTGTTGCTCAGTGGTTTGAGTGTCGGCCTGTGCACCAGAGTCTCGAGTTTGTTCCTAGTAGAGGACACAGTCAAGGACAAGTACCTGGGCTGCAGGTTTAATCTCCAAGCCTGTTGGGGTGGGTGCAGGAGGCAACCAACTGATGTGTCTCAACAATGTTTCTCTCTCTCTCTCTCTCTCTCTCTCTCTCTCTCTCTCTCTCTCCCCTCCCCAAACCCCCCCAAGAAAAAAAAATCAATGGAACAAAAGAGAAAAAGAAGGCTGGCTTCTATTATGTTGGTGGTTCTTAAGGTAAAGGGGTGACTGAGGGGCAGGAAGATTCACAATGATCTGTGGGCCTAACCGTTTGGATGACCATTTGTGGGTAGGAAGGAATCTTGACAAAGTGCAAGAAAAAGCAAACTAAAATAAGGGAAAATAACCCTCAAGGATAAAAGACCAAGATGGGCAGTGACAGAGGTGAAGGTAGAAAAATGTGTTTTTCAGATTATGATCTGGCCAGGGTGACAGAATGTGGGGCAGCTGTAAGAAACAGCAAAGCTTCAAAGGGTAGCTAGCACCTTTCAAATTGGCACCATGGCCCTTCCCAGGGGGCGGGGCCAATAAGAAGGTCTAAAGCACATGTGTCAAACACAAGGCCCGCGGGCCAAATCCGTCCCGCCAGGCCTTGCAATGTGGCCCGCACCGCGCTGTCATCACTGCACTCCGCTGCGTTTCCATCACAATGACAGTTTATGACTGTTCAGTAAACCATTCGGCCCACGATTTAGGCTGGATTTTAGATTTTGGCCCCTTCTCTGATTGAGTTCGACACCCCTAGTCTAAAGGATCGTCCTGGCCAAATGTCTCAGGTAGAAGTGCAGGGTTCGATGTGCCTTCTTCTCATCCTTTTTGCTGCACCTCTCTCACCTGCCACACAGGCTCGGTAGACAAGGTAGGATGAGGAGGGAAGGAACGCTCGTCACTTAGCTCCTGAGAGCATCAGCAGATAATCTCGGCAGTATCAGGCTGGTATGTGTGGTCCTGGTGTTGGGTGACTTCTTGACTCTCTTCCAGGCATCCCTCTAGAGCAGCAGTCGCCAACCTTTCGGGCCTCGCGGGCCAGCAGTGGTCCGCGAACCACTGGCCGCTCTAGCGGGTGCCATAACTGGGATGACTTCACATTGTGGAGAAGAAAACACAAACAGTTCCATGTTTCAGAAACTAAGACAACATTCGTTTCCATGAGTCATGATTGGGATATGTATGTATTATACCTGCCTGGGGCTGAGAACTACACTGCCCTCTCCTAGGCCTGGCTCAGCTGGTCTGGGAGATGGGCTGGGGCACACATCCCTCCTGTTCCTTTCCAAGCCAGCTACCCTCTCAATCTGACTTCTCAGGGTAGTGCTCCACGTCCCGTGTGTCCCCGACAGCCCAATCTACTTAGAATTGTGCCTAGCACTGTAGTCACCTGGGCCAGGGGAAGCCAGCGGCTTGTGAGTCCTGGGACTGCAGGGACTGAAGGGACACGGAAGGGATAGGGAACTTATAAGTACCGTGCGCTAACCGATTGCACACTGGAGCTCCGGGATAGGGAACTGAGATTGAAGGAAAAGCTACATTATATTTTTCTGAGGAAAGGGAGGGCTCCGACTGCAGGATTGGATAGGTGCTTTAGTAGGACAAAGACAGTCACCTGGTTCACGGATGTTAAAACAATATAAACACACAAAATAAAGTATTAACATTTCTCCCAATCTAATAACTCCAAAGAGGATGAGCACTCTGAAGCTTTCGCTGTTACTCCTCCCTGTGCAAACGTGCCTGGCACCTTGCCCCAGCGGCAGGAAAAAGCAGAGTAGTCTGGTGGGCAAATCAGTCCCAAAATAAAAACAAGCCTAAGCGACGAAGCAGGAAAAGGCGGCAACTGCTTGGAATCTGGGCTGACGGCCCAAGTGGAAGAAAAAGTGGCAGTTAGCAAGCTCAATGTACAGCTCTTACCGGGATCTCAGGGACCCGGATGGAAAGGGAAGCTAAAAGCAGGGGTAACGGGAGGGATAGAGTGGGACTGGTGCGGAGGGTGGGTTTCCTCAGGGCAGGACTGAGGACAGGGACTGAGTGAGGGAGCCAGTTTGGGAAGAAAACTAGCTAATGGGGCAGGAGATGCCGGTGTGGAGCCTCTTCAGCAAGAGCAGTTCAAAGTGTCCGTTCCTGCCCCCTAGAGGGCACCTGGCCCAGGGCAGGGCTAGGCATGTGGTAGGGGCGCTCAGAGAGGGTGCTCTCCTCCCTGCTCTGTCCCCTTCCCAGAGCAGCGTGGGAAACGGCAGGCTTCTCTCCCGCACGGGTTACCAGTGTCTCGAGTCCACCAGCTCGGGTCGGAGGCTCAGTTTCTTGAGGCTCTCATAGCCTACCACAATGACAATGGTAGAGGGCGTGGCTGAGATGATTCTGGCCGAGAGCCCCTTCATGAGGCCCCAAGGCCCCTCTTCCGCCATCAGCTGTCTGAAGGTCAGGATAATGGAGCTCTTGCCCTCAACCTGGAAAAGTCAACACAGTGGAGGGTCACGGTCTGCAGCCAAAGCTCCTCGGCCCATTCTCCCTCTGCCTTAGGCAAGACTGACTTTGAATTCTGCTCCCCAATTTACTGACAGCATAACCTCAGTAGTTTAACTCTGCACTCCAGTTTCCTTGAATATAAAACGGTGATAGTCCCTATGCCCGGTGGTGGTTCTGAGCGGTAAACAAAAGGTTACTTGTAAAAGTTGGGCACAGGACCGGGCAGACAGGAAGTGTTCAATGAGCATTAGTCATTAATGTCATTAGATAAACTACACAGCTATGAGCCTTTGGACTGGGTGCTTCTCTCTGGTCTCGAGGCTGGATTAAGTCACCTCCAAGGTCCTCTGCAGCTCTGCCAGTCTGTGATTTTGACTCTGATCATCTCAATCCCTCTGAAATCCCATGGCTAGAGTCTTCCCCTCTAACTCTGTTGTCTCCCAGGCATCTACCTTCCCTATCACATTGGAAACCTGGAGACTTTTCTTTCTCAACAGTCCTGCCCCCTTCCCCTTCCCCTATATCCTGCCACCAAACTATATCTTTAGATATCACCCACTCAGACCCTCAGCCAAGACAGGCCAGGTGCACTCCTTGCTATACCTCCTCCTGCACTGTATGACCTTCACAAGGTGGACCCATCTATGGCTAAGAGCATCTACCCACTCGCCCTGCCTCCTTTAACACCCTTCTCCACACTCCCGTCTTCCTCTCAGTCCTCTCATCTGACCACCACTGCTACCCTAACCCTCACTTATCCTTGGTCATGTCAAGGGCTTTTAAGCCAAATCTCTGGCCTCATAAGGACTTTGTCTCCTCTGGCCTGATAGCACCTCCAAGTAGAGACCTGTCCTTTCCCTGGATTTCCTTGTGGAACACCCAGGACAAGGCTCAGGAGAGAATGAAGATAGAACCATGTACTTATTACTTACAAACTAATTAGATGCCAACATACTCATTTTCAAAAGTGTGTGGTAGGGGAGGGCATTCTTTCTTAAGATAAAAATACCTAGATTTTCCCAGACAAGAATAAAGGAGTTCATCACAAAGGCAAAAAAGGACCCAGCAATTCCACTTCTGGGTATTTATTGGAAGAAACCCAAAACACTAATTTGGAAAGACACATACATCCCTACGTTAACTGAAGCATTATTTACAATGGCCAAGTTATGGAAGCAACCTAAGTGTCCATCGACTGACGAATGGATAAAGAAGATGTTGTACATACATACAATGGAATATTACTCAACTAAAAAAGAACGGAACTTTGCCATTTTCAACAACATGAATGGACTTAGAAGGCATTATATTAAATGAAATAAGTCAGAGAAAGACAAATACTATACGATTTCACTTTTGTGTGGAATCTAAAACAATAAATGAACCAAACAGACTCATAGAGACAGAGAATATTTTTTTTAAATCTTCACCCAAGGATATTTTTTCCATTAATTTTTAGACGAAGTGGAAGGGAAGGGGAGAGAGAGAGAAACATTGATGTGAGAGAGACACATAGATTGGTTGCCTCCCACACTTGCCCTGACAGGGGCCAGGGATTGAGCCTGCGACTGAGATACATGCCCTTGATTGGAATCGAACCCGGGACTGTTCAGTCCGAGGGCTGACAATCCAACCACTGAGCCAAACTGGCTTGGGTTACAGATGAGAGGGGGTTAGGGTGAAAAGGGGGAAGGGATTAACATGTAGAAATTGCCGGTTAGAAAAACAGTGCCAGGATGTAAAGTACAGCAAGGGAATATGGATGGTGTCAGGTGAGTACTAGACTTAGCTGTGGGATAATCACTTTGTAATTTATACAAATGTCTAATCATTATGTTGTACACCTGAAACTAATACAATATTGTGTGTCAACTGTAACTGAAAAATAAAAAAGGATTTAAAAAAAAAAAATACACCTAGATTTACCAGCCACCTCCATCCCAACATCCTGGTATTAGGGAAGCTAACTGCACTCCCAACCTATTATGGATATTTTTCTTCTCTCCCCTCCTCAGCTTGCCTCTTAAGCTATCCAAATCAGATAGTAAAACCTTCTATTCTCTTGACTTAAAGTTTTATACAGCAAAACCTGCCATTTATATTTTATATGTCATTATTCAAATTTTATTTCCTTGGAGTAGGTACTGTGAAATTGTTTTTGAGCTGACTGAAGACAGGAACTATAACTGCAGCACAGCACTACCAAGGGCTTTGCCAGTGTTTCTGCTGAGTCCACACAGTACAATCTGTGAAACCTACAAGAATAGTCACTCTCGCCCTGGCTGGTGTGGCTGAGCAGGTTGGAGTGTCCTTCCGCACATAAAAAGATTGTGGGTTCAATTCCCAATTAGGGCACATATCCAGGTTGCAGGTTCAATCCCTGGTCGGGTCATATATGGGAGGCAACTGATTAATGTTTCTCACATCAACATTTCTCTCTCCCTTCCCCTCTCTCTAAAATCAATAAAAACATATCATCTGGTGAGCACAAAAGGGGGGAAAAAGAACAATTTCACTGCTTGTAGAGAGCTCACAGAGAGAAACCAAACAGACCTAGGAAATGAACTGAAATCGGTATTTCTAAATGCAGGTAAGGAAAAGGTGGTTGTAGGAGATGCTAATGGGATAAAAGGCTGTAAGAAACCAGCAAGAATTCCTAGAGGCATGGGCAAGTAAAGGAATAGAAGCATGCGAGCTAGCAGACAGGATGAGAAAAACATTCTAGTTGCTTCAAAGTGCTCAGCTGGTTTCTGTAAATGAAAAATCATAACCCAAGAGATGCTGGCTGAACTACACAGCCATGACCGCAAGAGGTCAGGGGAAGGCTGGAGGGCCTCAAGATCACACTTCTAATGGGCAGTGTGGGAGGAGGGCCGGGTGGAGGCTGGTCTTACCTGCACTCGGGTTCGGATGACGTCCATGGGGTTGGTGAGGATGGAGGCGGTAGCTGCAGCCAGGGGCCCTGAGATGGCTTGAAACACAATGTGAGGGCACTCCTTAGGACAGAGCGACGAGAGCTGCTCTGGAATGGAGGAAAAGACAACGCTGTAAGACATGAGGTGCCACCGTCTGCCCTCACACTGCTTCTACCAACTGGCCCAATGATGTCAAACCTTCCATCCTCAGCCACCTCGGAGCCCCCCATCCACATAACCACCACCTTCTTTTCTCTCTGCTTCCTTCTGAACCAACCAAACATTATAAATCTGAGGCTCCATCCAGAAGTCATCTTGGTTATGTCCTCTGAAGAGGGAAATTTCAAAACCTCTTTGCTTGCTGACTCCTTCCATCTGATGGACAGAAATCCTGATATAACAATCTTAGGCCTGTGTTCTGCTTCGTCCAACCCACAGGCTAGAAACGCACCCACTACATATCTTCTAGTCTAGGCACCGAATAGCTGGTTGGATACATTAAAAGCTGGTGCTTTTCCGGTGGTGACGACCTCCGCAAGACAATATGCCTCTCGCTAAGGACCTCCTCCATCCCTCTCCGGAAGAGGAGAAGAGGAAACATAAGAAGAAGCACCTGGTGCAGAGCCCCGATTCCTACTTCATGGATGTCAAATGCCCAGGCTGCTATAAAATCACCACCGTCTTCAGCCACGCACACACGGTAGTTTTGTGTGTTGGTTGCTCCGCTGTTCTCTGTCAGCCAGCAGGAGGAAAAGCAAGGCTCACAGAAGGATGCTCCTTCCGAAGGAAGCAGCACTAAAAGCACCTCAAATCAAGATGAGTGGGGCCGAAACCGGTTTGGCTCAGTGGTAGAGTGTCGGTCTGCGGACTGGAAGGTCCCAGGTTCGATTCCGGTCAAGGGCATGTACGTTGGTTGCGGGCACATCCCCGGTGGGGGGTGTGCAGGAGGCAGCTGGTCGATGTTTCTCTTTCATTGATGTTTCTATCTCTCTATCTCTCTCCCTTCCTCTCTGTAAAATATCAATAAAATATATTTTTTTTAAAAATCAAGAGGAGTGGGAAACCATCCCAATAAACACATTTGGATTAAAAAAAAAAAAAAAAGCTGGTAACACTGCCCAGCCAGCATGGCTTAGTGATTGAGCATCGACCTATGAGCCAGGCGGTCACAGTCTGACTCCTGGTTAGGGCACGTGTCAGGATTCCGGGCTCAATTCCCAGTGTGGGTCATGCAAGAGGCAACCAATCAATGTTTATCATCACTGATGTTTCTCTCTCTCCCTCTCCTTTCCTCTCTGAAATAAATTAAAAAAAAAAAAATGGTAACACTGATTGTCTTTAAAGCAGGGAGTTGTATGACTGTGGTGGATGAGGGGCTTTTTCACAGTATACCCTCCTTTCCTACCTTTTGAACTTTTTAAGAAGCTTTTTAAAATTTGATTTTAGAGATGGAGGAAGGGAGAGAGAGAAAGAAACATCGATGTCAGAAAGAGACATCAGTCAGTTGCCTCTCGCACACGCCCCCAGAGATCGAACCCACAGCTGAGGCATGTGCCCTGACCTGGAATCGAAGCCTTAACCTCCAGTGCCCAGGATAATGCTCCAACCACTGAGCCACACTGGCCTGAGCCCTACCTTTTGAAATTTGAAACGTGTTTTTACATATAACAACAAAATTACAATTAAAAGAGAAAGTCATATCCTTCAGTGAAAACTTTTCTCCAGCCTATATTAAGAGAAAAAATTTTTTCAAAATGCTGATGAAGAAGACTGATTAATAGTCCTGGCTGGTGTACTCAGTGATTAGAGTGCTGGCCTATGCACCTGAGGGTTGGAGGTTTGATTCCTGGTCAAGGGCAGGTACCTGGGTTGCAGGTTATATCCCCACCCCCAGTCGGATGCATTCAGGAGGTAACCAATCGATGTGTCTCTCTCACATTGGTATTTCTCTATTTCTCTCCCCCTCTCTCTCTCTCTTTTTCTCTCCCCCCCCCTCCTCCCTCTCCCTTACACTCTAAAAATCAATGGAAAAAATATCCTCAGGTAAGGATTAACAAACAAAACAAAAGAAGACTGAGTAATACCCAGATTCACCCATTCCCAGTACCACTGAGAAGTTCACCTACAATTGAATTTTTTGCTTTATCCTCTCCCTGCGTTCTAGTCACTTTCTTCCGCAGAGTCAGCATACAAACAGAAACAAGAGCTCATTAATTTATTCAACAAAGATGTATTCAATGGTTACCATGAACCAGTCCCTGTGGGTTCTGAGGATATAACTGAATAAAAGAGCCTCAAAATCCTTGCCCTTATGACATTTACATTCTAACTGCCTGAATAAACAAATAAAAAGCAAAATATATAGTTATATAGAAGGTTCTATGTGCTAGCTAGATAAAAATAAAGCAGGAAGGGAAGACAGGAAATGCCAAAGGTAGGGTGTGAATGGGTTGCCATCTTATTTTTATTATTTTTTAAAATATATTTTATTGATTTTTTTTTTTTTTTTTTTTTTTTTTTTTTTTTTTTACAGAGAGGAAGGGAGAGGGACACCGAGCTAGAAACAACGATGAGGGAGAAATATCCGACCAGCTGCCTTCTGCACACCCCCTACCGGGGATGTGCCCACAACCAATGTGCATGTCCTTGACCGGAATCGAACCTGGGACCTCTCAGTCCGCAGGCAGATGCTCTATCAATTGAGCCAAACCGGTTTCGGCGCCTTTAAATTTTTTTTTCATGCTCCTCGTTTGGGTATTTTGTAGCCAGGCAACTAAATAGTAAGGAATAAATAGGATGGTCTACGGCCATACCAACCTGAACGCGTCCGATCTCGTCTGATCTCGGAAGCTAAGCAGGGTCGGGCCTGGTTAGTACTTGGATGGGAGGAATAAGTAGGATGGTAGGGGTTGGCAGGGCAGAAGTGAGAGCTTCTAAGACCCGGCAGCATGGCAGAATTCCTTAAGTCCAACCAGAATCCTCTCTCCCTGATTTCTAGTCACTTTCTCCCCCAGGGTCAGCATACAAATAGAAACAAAGTGAGCTGGTGGCTCCTCCTCATGGGTGTCCTATTTCTCTTGAGAAGAAAGCATTTCATAACCATTAAAGGTAGCATCTGGGCTGGCACTGCCAGCCTCCCTGGGCCTGTCTGCACTAGCCCCCAGGCCTGTACGCTGCAGTGGGATCCAGATGCCAATTCTAGTCCTACAAACACGCCATTTTCCTGGGGCTTAGGGAAAGGATGGGAAAACAAAGGTAAGAGGAGGGGAGTAAAGAGCCCCGTCTTTCCCTCTCCATTATTCACTCAACAAGTGATTACTGAGCACCTACCATCTGACGCGGTGTAAGTCTCCTGGCTAAATAACTTTGGGTAAGTGATATAAACATCGTTTGTTTCATGCTTACTAGATGCCAAGCACTGAGGTCAGCACTAGACAAAGAACAGCAGCGGACAGGGAAAGGCCTCCATGGAGCTCAGTCTAATTAAAAAGCTGGGGTTGGAGATAAAATAACGGAAGGAAACGAGGTGCCGAAAAAGAAAACAGAAAGAACCCTCTTTCCAACTGGCAGTTAAAGAAGTCCACTCTGCAAAGGTGACATGGAAGCAAAGGCTGGAAACATGAGAAAGACCCAGACATACAAAGAACAGGGGAGAGGGCACTCCAGGCAGAAAGAACATGATTTGCAAGAGCTTTGAGGTGAGATCGGAGCTTGGTGTGTTAGAAACTGAGAGGAAGGCAGTGAAGATGGACCAGAGTGAGGAAGCGGGGAGTAGCACACGATGGCGCTGAAGAGGCAGACAGGAGCCAGATCCTGTAGACCAGGGCTGACCACAGGAAGCATTCGATTTTATTTTAAATGCCCACAAATCAGCACTGGTAGGTTTTAAGCAAATGGGGTAACGAGAATCAGTCTACTCATTCATAACAAATACTTACTGAGCACTGCAATTCACCAGAGCCTAAGAGACACAGTGGTCACAGAGCCTGGCACATGGTGGATATTCAACAAATGTTACTTTCCTCCCCCTTCCGAGAACCTTTCCAGTGAATGGTTCTATACTAACCTTATCAGTATAGCTGGAAAATATGCATTAAAAATAAAAGAATCTTTCCACATTGTAAAGAGATAAGGCACACACAAATAACACCCAGGAAAATGTTATAACTGCCTTAGGAAACATTCAAGCCATATAATGGAGGCTGAAGGGAGGGAAAGGTCACTTCTGGGTTAAGGGTTTCATGGAGAGGAGGGGATAGGAGGCAATAAGGAGCACTTCAGTCATGACTTCACCCCGGAAAGTGTCCCTGGAAGCCATTTAAGCAGAGGTGTGAAATGAACAAAGCGAAGGTAGCAGAGACGATAAATAGTACGTGATTGAAGCACTGTACGTTAGCTGGCCTGGCTGCAGCACAGACTATACACAGGGGAGCAGCCGTGGTTTCGCTATGGAGGGAGGCTGAAGCCAGGCTGAAGTGTTTGGATTTAACTCAGCAAGCATGGAGCCACTGAACAGCACAGACAGGGTCTAAACAGGTAATCTGTTAGGACGTGAGTGATGGCCAGGAAGGAAGAGGCTTACAGAGAACAGGCTGATGCTGCTGTCCAGGAAGGTGGAACAGTGGCATGGCTTCCAGGAAAGGCAGGAGGAATGGAGAGAGAGTTTGGAAAGACATTTTGAGGTCACAAGGACTAGATGTGGAGCCAAGGAAGAGGGAATGGCCAAGCACAATCCCGAAGGCTTCAATCTTAGCAATTTGGAAAATAATATGCTCACTGACACATAGAAATAAGTCAGAAGGGAAAGCCAGTTGGGTTGAAGAATAGTTCATAGAGCCCTAGCTGGTTTGGCTCAGTGGATAGAGCATGGGCCTGTGGGTCCCAGGTTCGATTCTAGTAAAGGGCATGTATCTTGGTTGCAGGCACTTACCCAGTGGGGAGTGTGCAGGAGGCAGCTGATTGATGTTTCTCTCTCAACGATGTTTCTAACTCTCTATCCCTCTCCCTTCCTCTCTGTAAAAAAAAATCAATATAATATATATTTTTTAAAAATAAATATTGACTCGTTCATGCGTGATTTTGTCCCCGTCTGACACTGGCCTCCCATTTAAATTAATTTGAAGATAGTTTCCCGTGATGTCAGCATTTGCGATGACTATTAATAAATCACAAGGATAAACTCTAGACAGAGTCGGAATATTCCTACCTGAACCCGTTTTCGGACATGGTCAGTAATATGTTGCTTTCTCTTGAGTTTGAGGAGCATGTGACGTTAAAGTTGTAAATACTTCATCACAAAAAAAATTAGTAAAGCACTCTGAAAGTGTTTTTACTCTTAATGTGGTATACAGGGAGATATTAGAATAAGTTTAATCAATTTATCGGTCATTGTTTTTATCAATATTGTTTTTATATCATGTCTTTGTTGCTGTTATTGGTTATTTATTAATTTATTTACATATTATTATCATATACATTTTACTAATTTTCTTTCATCTCTGACACTTCTATTATAGACAAAGGTGAATAGCAATATTAAAATATTTCTTCTTGTAATTAATTTCCTTTCAATGTGCATAAATCCATGCACCAGGCCACTAGTATATGTATATATGAAAAAAGAATAGTTGATAGAGTAAAATTTCAGATGTAAATACATGCATCCAAGTTGAGAGGTCAATCAGAATGTTTGTCTGGAGCAGAGCTCTGGAGAGGTTAGTCTGGAAATGGAAATAGAGATTCTGGGACATATTGGAAAAGTACAATTCAATTGTAAATGAAATCAAATGAAGAGAGAAGGGAGAAGATAGACTCCAGAGAACATGCTCACATTTCCTAGGAAGTTTTTTTAACATTGAGATTGCCAGGCTCGCCCTAGCTGGTAGAGAACATCAGCCTCCAGAATGAAGGGCCCTGGGTCCAATGCCAGTCAAGGGCGCATGCCCGGGTTGCGGGCTTGATCTCCGGTGGGGGGCATGCAGGAGGCAGCTGGTCGATGATTCTCATCATTGATGTTTCTATCTCTCCCTCTCCCTTCCTCTCTGGAACATATATATATATATATATATATATATATATATATATTATATTTTATTGATATTTCACAGAGAGGAGGAAGGGAGAGATATAGAGAGCTAGAAACGTCGATGAGAGAGAAACATCAACCAGCTGCCTCTTGCACACCCCCCACTGGGGATGTGCCTGCAACCAATGTACATGCCCTTGACCGGAATCGAACCTGGGACCTTTCAGTCCGCAGACCGACGCTCTACCACTGAGCCAAACCGGCTTCGGCCCAATAAAAATATATACTAAAAAAAAAAAAAAAGATTGCCAGGCTTCATTCCCACAAAATCTGATACAAAGGATCAGGACTAGAGTCCAGGTATGTGAATTTTACCAGATACTCTAAATAAAATACTGTGTTAAATAGAAGAAGAAAGAAAGAAAGAGGGGGGGAAAAGAAAGAAATCGAGCTAGTGAAGAAGAAGGAGAAAGTGATAGAGGGGGAGGAGAAGGAAGAAGGAAAAAAGGAACAAAAAAATAGGAGGAGAGGAAGAAGAAGTACAATCAGAAAAACAGGAGAACTATAAAAATACAATGCCATAGAAACAAAATGATTATAGGTTAGGAAGTCCTTATAAAATTACAAAATCTGGTTAGAAAAGTTCCAGATGGGATGAGAATGCCCACCGCCAAGGGTTAGAGGTCAGCAGCAGAATTAGGGAGGTTGTAAGCATAGACTGCCCTAACTGGAATTTGCTAGTTACTCAAAGCTGCAATGCCAAGGGCAGCAGGCACACTCTTGGCAATGTGTTCTGCCCTTTCATAAGGAAATGTGGCAATATGTTTATTGAGGCTATCAAAATTCTTATCTTTTAATGCAGTAATCCCATTTCTGGGAAATACTTAAAAAGAAGTAAAACTTGTTATGAACAAAAAATACAGGAGTGGAGAGGTTTATTATTATATCACATCTTGAATTTAACAATGCTGAGGAAAGGCATCCAACTCAAAACTGCACTATTATTCATTAATTTTTATCTTCAAATCCCAAATGCCCCTTCATTTTGTCCTTTTCTATCTTCCAATTCTCTGCCAATATCCCACTAACCCTAGTTGATTGTAATGCACCCAGAATACATTCTATGGTCTACAATCATCTACTTTACTTGTCTGATTCCCCCCACTTTAATATAAGCTCCCCGAAGGAAAGAATTACGAATTATTCATCTTCGAATCCTCTTGAATCAAATGTTTGCTGAATGAATGGCCCATTCTCCCATTAAATCTCCCTCTGACACGGCTACAGAACGAGGGTCTCTTAGCCACATTGGGAAGCCCACACCCCACTCTCCTGGGTCCCTGCTTACCTGCGTAGAAGTGATAGAAGGGCCACCAGACAGCGCTGTTTGGGATGTAGGTGAGCAGTGAAGCCACATAGCCTCGGTAGAAGCCTCGAAGCCCATCAACCCGCAGGATCTGCTTGATGATGTCCTTGGTTTGGCCAAAGGCAATTACCCCTTGTCCCTCCGGGTTCCCTCGCACTTGGAAGCGGCCCACTTTCTCACCCTTGCGCTGCATCATCAGGTGCTGGGAGACCACGTCAATGGGCACTGTGATGCTCTGGGCTACAAGAGAGGCCGAGCCGCCGGCCACAAGGGATTTGACAGTGTTGCTCTGGCTGTAGTCAGATACAAACTTCCGGGTGAGCTCGTACGTGGTGACGTAGCACTGGCCCGAGATGAGGGTGAAGGTGTTGACCAGGAACCCCCGGTAGAGGCCAGTCACGCCATCTGCTCGCAGGATCTTAATGAAGGCGTCAAAGGTCCCGTGGTAGAGGCTCTTGCCTTTCTGAACCTGCAGCCGAGTGCGGATGAGGGTGAACGGGTAGACGCTGACCCGGATCATCATTGTCATGGCCACGCCAAACACGTAGAACTTCTTCTTGTCCAGGTGTTCCCACTCAATGATCTGGATGTTGCGTTTGTCTTCCATTGTGCCCGAAGTCCTGGGGATTTTAGCAGGGCGGAGGGATGTGAGGAAGGAGCTCAGAACTTCACACTTTCCCCTCTTGGCTAGACTCTGAAACCCCATTCTCAGGCTTCATCTTCCGGGGTACTTAACTCATTCTGGCTCTGGATGTTCCCTCACAGATTAGGAGACTTGCCTCCTTCCCTCTCCTTTATCAGTCCTTCCCAAGACCAGAAACCTTTCCTACCTCAGTGACTTCCCTGGTTTCACTCCCACATCAGCTCCCTACCCCCAGCTCATCATCTATTCTGGTCTCTGTCTCTGCCTGGGCCCTGGTGTCATGGCCCATTCTCCTCCTCCTCCTCCTCCTCCTCCTCCTCCTCCTCCTCCTCCTCCTCTGGCTCACCCAAGCAGAGCTCAGGATGCTATGGACAAACCAGCCTCCTGACAGGATATAAGGCCCGTCAGTGGGCTAACGGGATGCCAGTATGTGACATTTAGGAGGCTCCTAAAGGCAGAGGGCAGTGCTCCATTTCTGAGCACTGGGCCCACTGCAGAGGCACTGCCTGTGACCGCGCATCCTCAGTGGAGTGTCTTTTATCACCCCCTACCAGCTGACTCACCTGACTTTACTTATGGTTTCTGTGCTGGCCCCTCTGCGCTCCCCTAGCCCACCCTCACCACACTTATACTTTCTCCAGACTGCATTAGAGAAAGTGTAGGGGAAAAGCTAAGTGGGGCTTTCATACCCCAGGGCACCCCCTCACACACACCTCCTCTCTCTCCAACGAGAGTAGAACATTAGGAACAGGCAAAGATCAGAGTCCTCTCTGGTTATTAGATAACTCACTCTAGAGAAAGAAAAGAACCACCTGAGGAGTCTGGAGAACTACAGGGTAAAGAACATGTTTGGCCCCACATATAAATCATTACTTCAGTCCCAGTTACAATGAAGGGAGATTCAAGTAACAGAAGATCCTGACTCTGCTTTCGAGAAACTCATAGTCTGCTAAAAAAGGTCCCAGGTTCGATTCCAGTCAGGGCATGCACCTTGGTTGCGGGCACATCCCCAGTAGGAGGTGTGCAGGAGGCAGATTCTCAAAAGGAAAAGGGACTGATGGATGTTTCTCTCCCACTGATGTTTCTGACTCTCTATCCCTCTCCCTTCCTCTCTGTAAAAAATCGATAAAATATATTTTAAAAAATTTTTTTCAAACAAAACTAAAAAACCTACTAATGTAGTAATTGCATACAATTGGAACCTTCCAACTGAAGGAACTGTCAAATGAAAGGGTGTCATATAGTGGACATATTCTTAGTAACAATGTAACGTGCTCCTGTGTAGGACATGGACATGGACATGTCTAGAGGGTTGAAAAGTTCTGCACAAGTAGTCCCAGTGCTAATGCCTTGGCAAAACTCATGTCAAGTGTTTAACCAGAGTCCATCTTCAATCACTTTCCCCAGGCAAAGGCCCTCACTAGCCTAAGTCATTTCTTGGTTTACCCTGGAAGTCAGTGAAGTAGCAGGGTTAGCCTTTCAGTATTCCCTGAGCCGGACCGGATCACTTTCATTAAAGTACAGGATTCCTGCAGTGCACGCTGGGTGCATGGGCGCTGAGGTAGGCATAGGTGAGGTACATGCACCAGCACAGCATAGGGGAGGACAAAGCAGTGCGAGTGAAGGAGGAATACGTGTAGACAGTGACAGGGAAAGAACAATAGCCCGGAACAGCTCGGTCCTGCCTTAGGATTCCAGAATGGAGACTCTAGACTGTGGGAAGGAAGTCAGAGGTGGGGTTCTAGGAGAACCCCTAACAAACATGTGCCATTTGCTGTGGGCAAAAGTGGCCCTTCCTCCCCACCAAGTCCAGCAGGGCAATCTCCTCTCTGAAGGCCCTTCGAGAAAAGGTGGTCACTGTTTCCCCTGCCCCAGGCTGTTTGTCCTCCAGGGACCCAAGGTCATCTTTCCATTACCACTGAAAGTTGAAGAGAGACGCTAGGATTTACTGAATGGCTATGGCCCCATGCAACACTTACAACCTAATCTGTGCACAGCTGGATACTTCTGCTAAGGAAATAGAGGGACAGCGACATTAAAAGGAACAGACCCAAGGTCACGTAGCTGGTCAGTGGTAAAGGCAGGATAGGAGCCAAGATCTGTTCTCTACGCTGCCGTGCCTTTCACTCCCCTGGGAGTTGAACAGCTCCAACACAAATCACTCAGTTCGGTCTAAAGCCAAGTCATTCCCTCTGTGGGAGCAGAATGAATGCCCTCATGACTGCCAGTCACCAGTAGCCAAGGGTTAAGCACAACCCTGGCCCTGCAGATGCCTCCGGATTTCTTAGCGTTGTGCTAGAGAAACCAAGAGCTGCCTCTGCTGTCTCTGTGTGCTTGTGGAATGACTGAGCAGTGACTGAGCAGTCACCTTGTCGTCACAGGACAGACACCGCAAGGCTCCAGCAGGAGGGACTCCTACAGGGATCGTGCGGGGCAGAGAAGCAGAGCAACAAAGGATTCTATTCCAGGACCTTGTTTTGTGGGCACCGTCTCAATTTGTCAACTGAATCACAAAGTACCAACATCTACTGATGAGGAATCCTAAGGCAGGACCCCGGGCCTACTTTCTTCCATCTCTGACACATGCCAGTCTATTTTATTTCTTTTTATATTCCTCATTTATTTAGTGTGTGTGTGTGTGTGTGTGTGTGTGTGTGTGTGCGCGCGTGCGCGCACGCCCAGCTATTTTAAATTCTCAAAAGGAAAAGGGACTCTCCAAGGCTGAAGCAGGTACTTCTATTATTGCCATGGTAACAGAAGAAACCACTAAGAGTCATGCCTCAGAGAGAGAAGCATCTACAGTTGAATGAGAGAATCACTACATCTACCTGTTCCCTTCAAAAAGTAGGACTGCTCCTAAAAGGTGGGATCTCAAGCTGCTCTTTTCCTATATAATAAAAGGCTAATATCCAAACTGTCCCCTCTACCGACTGCGGCCCCGCCCCCCAGCCACCCCAGGCCACCCCATGAATGCACAAATTCATGCACTGGGCCTCTAGTATTATACAATATAACTGCCAAACTTCCTGCTCAAATAACAAAACCAGTACCTCTTGTTTTACCTTCTGGAAAATCCTCCTTGCACATACTAGTAAGCAAACTTCCTTTAGCCTTCCCAACTCAATCAGCCCGACTTCATTATGGCTCTTCCCAGACCCTTATTTTGTGAACATGGCTCCAATTCTGAATTTCCCCCATCTTTTAACACTGCTTGGATACAAAGGCTGAGGCATTTCCTATGAAGACCCAACAAATGACTCAAGATGCTCTGAAGTCATCAAATGAGATGTCGGAGGCAGTGGAAAGGAACAAACTGGTGGGTTCAGTACACGTCCTCTCCCCTTCCAGCTTTCCTTTGTAGAAAAATCATACTAAACTATTCACCAGGTGCTGAGATGAGGTTACGGTTCAGGACAAGGCAATGTCACCTGGAAGGCAAAGCCATGCTGTGGCAAGAACAATAGTACTCAGGAGAGCCAAGTTTAAGTTCCACTTCCATCATAGAGTTAATTTACACAAAACCAGATTGTGTAGCCTGCTATTGCTATAGTCTATTGCTCCTAGGCTACAAACATTTACAATATTATTACTGTACTGAATACTGTAGGCAACTGTAACACAATGATAAGTATTTGTGAATCTAAATAGAGAAAAAGTAGTCTATATATAGTATAAAAAATTAAAAAATGGTACAACCTGTATAGAGCACTTACTATGAATGGAGTTTGCAGGACTGGAAGTTGCTCTGGGTGAGTGAGGGAGGAGTGAGTGAATGTGAAGGCCTAGGACATTTCTGTACACTACTACAGACTTTACAGATTTTATACACTTAGGCTACACAAACAAAAATAATGCAATCAAGAGATCTGGCAAACATAAAATAGGTGAGGCTGCTGTCAATATAACACAGCAAACTGATTATAGCAAACTTTTTTTTTAATTAATCCTCACCAAGGATATGATTTTGTACTGATTTTTACAAAGAGAGAGAAACATGGAGCTATTGCCTCTTTTGTACATGCCCTGACCAGGGGTCAAACCCACAACCCCTTGGTGTACAAGAAGACACTCCAATCAACTGAGCCACCCAGCCGGGGTGCAAAGAGTTTTTTTAAGTAGAAAGAGTACACTCTAAAACAATGATTAAAAGTATAGATAGCAAGCCCTGCCAGTGGTGCTCAATGGCTAGAGTGTCCATACATGCACGGAAGGGTCGAAGGTTTGATTCCCAGCCCTGTCAGAGCACATGCGGGAGGCAACCAATCCATGTCTTTTCTCACATCGATGTTTCTCTCTCTCTCCTTCTCCACCTCTTCCACTGACTCTAAAAAATTAATGGAAAAAATATCCATAGGTGAGAATTAATAAAACAAAACAAAAAAAGTATAGTGTACAAATACCTAAACCAGTAACACAATTGTTCATTATTGAGTATTATGTACATAATTGTATGTGCTTTACTTTTTAAATTATTTTTATTGATTCAGAGAGGAAGGGAGAGGGATAGAGAGAAACATCAATGATGAGAGAGATTCATTGATTGGCTGCCTCCTGCACACCCCCTACTGGGGATCAAGCCTGAAACCCCGGCAGGTGCCCTTGACTGTAATCAAACATGGGATCCTTCAGTCCACAGGCCAGCACTCTATCCACTGAGCCAAACCAGTTAGGGTGTAATTTACTTTTATACAACTGGCAGTGCAGGTTTGTTTACACCTGCATCACCACAAATGTATTATGCTAAAACATTACATTCCGATGACCACAACGTCACTAGGCAATACAAAATTTTCAGCTCCATTATAATATTATGGGATTACTGTTGTATATGTGGTCTGTCATTGTCTGAAATGTTGTTATGTGATACATAACTGCATAACAGTGTGATGCAACTCATATGAGCTAATATCATTTTTATCATTATAGAAAGCTGTACTGGACAATGTTGCTCTAATCATCGCTGTTTAAAGTGGTACACAGACCAAGCAGCATGGACCTCACCTGGAGCTTGTGAGAAATACAGAATTTCAGACTGAGTAACAACCAACATTTTAACAAAATCTGGAATGATTAATGTGTCAGAATTTTAGAGACATTATTTTAAATATTAAGGATTATCAGCAATATAAAAATGATTATAATACTCCAAAAGTCCAGGATCCTTAGGACTAGGTTAGGAGCCCTTAGTCCCTCCTGACTTGTTACCAGAACTTGACTCAATGTCTACTACTGCCCAGCCCAGTGTGGCTCAGTGGTTGAGCATCAACCTCTGAGGTTCGATTCTCAGTCAGGGCATATGCCTGGTTTATGGACTCGATCACTGATGTTTCTCTCCCTCTCCCTTCCTCTCTGAAATCAATAAAAATGTATTTTTTAAAAAAATTTTTTACTAGACTCATTCAGATTTTTTCAGTCAATCACCCCCATCAAATTAAATCACCTTCATTAACACCTGACAAGACACCCATGGGGTTTGACCCCCACTTCTCAACTGGAAATAAGATCTTTGCTCCCTCCTTCTGTCCCCTACGGGGGACATCAACGCTCTGGATCGAGGAAGCTGTTTACATGCCTGACCACCTGTCCTATTAATGATGGAGGAAGATGTACACCGAATGTGTGCATTTCTTTAGAGGACGTCCTTGGTGATACCTCTGACCCCTCCCTTCAGATTATCTCCTAGGATTAGGTGAGATACCCATCGAGCCTTTTGGTCTTCAATAGGTACTCACGTGATCCCTCACCACGTGACAATTCTCCACCTACTCCCCTTTTGTACATTTCGGTCCAGGCCTCCGCACTGCCACCTCTAGGTCCTCGGACGGGCCCCTCGCCATGCTGCTATGGCTGTCAGCGAACCGCATCCTCCTCCGACAGGAAGAGATGCTTCTTTGGAGTCGTCCGTCATGCCCAGAACCGCATGTGGGCTCCCAGGGAACTGCAGCCGGGCCCCACTGACACCCGTGGCCACCTTGACAGGTCCAGGCCCTCAGGCGCTCCAACCCGGTGGCGTCTTACCTTCTCCGATCAGGGCGGTCCCGCCGCGTCCGAGGCGAACTGCACGCCCAGACCGCTAGGCCGCAGCTCCCAGTCTGTTCGCGGCGCCCGGCCACTGCCAGCTTCGGTGTACATCTTCCTCCATCTCGACCCGGCTCCTGGTCCTAACCGGAACCGGAAATTGGGACGCTGTCATTCCGCCCGGGGGGCGGGGATGAGCGATGGGCAGCTCCACCAATGGGGTTTTTGAAGTCCGGGGCAGGGGCGGGCTTTCTCGGAAGCCATCTTGAGTTTGGGCAGAAGCCACGCTCTGATTAGCTTCGCTGTGCCCTCAGCTCCACGGCGCGTGCGTGTCCTTTGTCAATTCGCGAAGATCGAGTCACCGGCTGCTTCTGGGAGATCCAGGTCTAAGTGTGTCACCTGTGTTTGGAATCTATTAGGATCCTTAAATTAAAATCTAATTTGTAATTGTTGTTGTAGGGGGATGAAGGCCTGGGGCGCGGGTGGGCGTGAGCTGGAGGGGGTCGTGTGTGTGTGTGTGTGTGTGTGTGTGTGTGTGTTTTAAGAATTGTTCTTTGAAAAAACTCTAACGGAGATTTCAAACTTAAGGTGATAGCTTTATGTCAATTTGGCTAGACTATAGTACTGAGTCCCTCAAACACTAATACTGTTGCTGTGATGGTATTTTTTAAATAGTAATGTTCATTTTATTTTTTTAAGAAAGAAAGGAAGGGAGAGAGACATTGATGTGCAGGAGAAACATCAACTAGTTGCCTCCTGCACACACCCTGAAACCTAGAAATTAAACCCTCGGCCTTTCAGTTTATGGGACACCGGTCCAACCAACTGTCCGCCTTACCGGCCACGGCCACGGCAGTAATGGTATTTCGTAGGTGTGGTTAACATCGACAATAAATTGACTTTCAAAGAGAGTGCCTTGATAATGTAGGTGGGCTTTATCTAATCAGTTAAAAGACATTTAGGGCAAAAAACTGGGTTTTCTCTGAAGAGGAAATTCTGCATCAAGATTTCCAACGAAGAAAAAGAAGAAGAAGAAGAAGAAGAAGAAGAAGAAGAAGAAGAAGAAGAAGAAGAAGAAGGAAGAAGAAGGAGAAGAAGGAGAAGAAGGAGAAGAAGGAGAAGAAGGAGAAGAAGAAGAAGAAGAAGAAGAAGAAGAAGAAGAAGAAGAAGAAGAAGAAGAAGAAAGAAGAAGAAGAAGAAGAAGAAGAAGAAGAAGACGACGAAGAAGAAGACTTCAACACTAGAACTGTATCCCGGAAGAGGCTGTGGAAAACTGCCCCTTCTGCCACAGCTCCTCCAGGCTAGACCAGGTGTGGTGGCAGCAGCAATGGCTCATCAGAAGACCCCAGGATCCAGAAGAAGACCCCAGGATCCAGAGAGCCAGCCCCTAAATCATGGACCTTGAGATAGATCTGGACACCAGTTCAGGTGGGAAGCCAGCCCACCATCAAAAGGTCATCCCACAGCTCTCCTATCTTTCATTATCCACTGTGCTCCTGGGAAACAGCTCTCCCTGGTGGCACTCCCCATTGCAGCCCCAAACCCCAATTCCAAAATAGGACCTGTCACCTCTCCAATGAATTCCTACATCTTGTTCTGTGGGGACAGCCAAACCCATCTGGCTCAGGAGGCACCCTTGGGAGGGGGATACCTTGCCCAGGCCAGCGGCACCCTGCCACCCTGCAGAGGGACTGTGACCTCGGCTTCTTCCCCAGTCATCACACTCTGCCCCCAGGAGCCTCCTAAAGCCAAAGGAGCACCTTGAAGGTGCCCACAAGGTGTTCGGCTTGGGGAACAGTCATGGGGCCACTCACAGCTTCCTCCTCCTGTGTCTGTGGGCAGGCGGGTTAACGGAAGAGCCTGACTATGGGTGGAGGGGGCTGGCAGGCCAGGCTCAAGTGCCCAGGGGCTGCAAGTCCCAGGGCCCACAGCCTCTCTGCCAGGGGCTGCAAAATGCCAGGGAAAACACCATCGCTTTCTTGGAGCTTAAATTCTTGGAGTGGGGGGAGATGGTGTTGGGGGAGGGGAGGGAAGCGGGTTAAACAACTAAATTAAGACGATTTTGATTTTGAACAGTGACACAGTGAGTGCTGGGCAGAAGCTGAGACCAGGTGCTGGGATGGAAAGTGATTGGGGCAAAGAGCTTTTGTGATACGGTGGCTGGGAAAGGCCTCCCTGAGTGGGTGGCAATTTAAAAGATGATTGTGCCCTGACCAGTTTGGCTCAATAGATAGAGCATCGGCCTTTGGACTGAAAGGTCCCAGGTTCGATTCTGGTCAAGGGGGTATGTACCTTGGTTGTGGGCACATCCCCAGTGGGGGGCATGCAGGAGGCATGTTTCTCTCTCATCGATGTTTCTAACTCTCCCTCTCCCTCTCTGTAAAAAAATTAATATTTACAAAAATAAAATAAAATATGATCTAAAAAGTGTAAAGGAACTAGCACTGTGAACCACCCTCCCAGGGCCCGTGGGCTGGCATCTTTTCCCTGAGTGGTAAAGAAAACCCCAGGAAACCCCAGCAGGACAAGCAGGGCAGCACGTTGGCAGCTGCCCTCTTGGCTCACATACAAGTGTGAAGGTCACTGAAGGGCAGGAGACAGAACAGGGAAATCTGAGAACCTTAATGGGACCTGGCAACCTGAGCGTAAACAAAAGGAACGGGGGCGGGAGTGCGCAAAAGGGAACGGAATGTCATATTTGAACAAATAAAATAGACATTTATTGAGCATCTACTGCATACCAGGCTGATGCCCTGGAGAGACAGAAGAAAAGGGGACGGGGCTCTGCTCCATAGAGAAATCGTGTTCCCCGGCGAGAAGTGTGAATGGAAGTGTGCGTAGATGTAAGAGATGCACCCAGTGTGAAACGCCACATCAACCCACCTGAGGACGTGGCTCCGGATTGCTCAATGTTAATTTAAAAAAAAAAAAAAAAAAGACCAGTCAGCCGGCGTAACTCAGTGGTTAAGTGTTGACCTATGAACCAGGAGGTCAGGGTTTGAGTCCCAATCAGAGCATATGCCCGGGGTTAGGGGCTTAATCTCCATTGTGAGGCATGCAAGAGGCAGCTGATCAATGATTCTTTCTAATCATTGATGTTACTCTCTCTCCCTCTCCCTTCCTCTCTGAAATCAATCAATCAACAAATTACACACACACACACACACACACACACACACACACACAGCAGATGAAGCCCCAGGAGCCCAATCCTGGCCCACTGCCCTCGCCATTGCCCCGCGATGTCCCATTGCCCTTGGCCTGGAGGTCATCTGGAGAGTCAAGGAGAGAAAGTTTGGAAAGCGAAAGTCAGACCGCAAGGAAAGCCAGTGCAAGGAGGGAGGGCATAGAGTCAAATGTTGGAGTTGGGGATGGTTATTTATTTTTTTAAATATATTTTATTGGTTTTGTACAGAGAGGAAGGGAGATAGTTAGAAACATCGATGAGAGAGAGTCATCATCGATCAGCTGCCTCTTGCACACCCCCTACTGGGGATATGCCTGCAACCAAGGTTCATGCCCTTGACTCGGAATCGAACCCGGGACCTTTCAGTCCCCAAGCCGACGCTCTATCCATTGAGCCAAACCGGTTTCGGCGAGGGATGGTTGTTTTTTAGAACACCTAGCACACCTAAGGGTGGGAGAGAGGGGTAAGCTGAGGGAGAGGTACAGTGAGGGGGCCATCCTTGGGGGCACTGCAGAGAGAAGGGGGCACAGGCAGTGGTTAGCCATGGTTGGAAGAGGGTCCTGGTCCTTTATGAAGGGACGGGGGGGGGGGGGGCACTGTTTGTTCAGTATTGGGAAGGATGTAGCCAGGACAGGGAGGTTGTATGGTGTCTTTATATTTATTTTTTTTAAATATATTTTTATTGATTTTTTTTACAGAGGAAGGGGAGAGGGATAGAGAGTTAGAAACATCAATTAGCTGTCTCCTGCACGCCCCCTATTGGGGATGTGCCCACAACCAAGATATATGCCCTTGATCAGGATCGAACCCGGGACCCCTCAGTCTGCAGGCCGCCAAACGGTTAGGGGAACCTTTATATTCAATCCACCAAGAGGTGAAACCAAGGAAAGAGGGGCCGAGTTGGAGTCACAGAAATGTGGGGGCGTGAGGGACAGCGACAGCAGGCTGAGCAGGGACACCTGCCAATCATCACCCAGGGGCGGATCAGGTGTTGCCTGGCCGGCAGACAGGAGCTGAAGCTGACCAACAGCGTTGGCCTGAAAGGCAGTCTGAGAGACCTCTAGCAGCGGCTGGAGTGGAGGAAAGGATTGTCGACCTGGCTTGGAGGGGTAGTGGGGGGAGACAGGGAGCTCAGGGAATAATCACCCCCAAACCTGGCCTCCTCCCACTGACGCCTCCATGCCTGCTCCCCTTCCCTCTTACAGTCCTCTGCTGGAGAACTCTGCTCCCACAAAAACAGCACAGGCCCGACGCTTTGTCTTTTTAATAAAAAATAAACTGTGACAGGCAGTTTTCTGAATCCCAAAGCAAAGGAGAGGGCAAAGGACAGAGGTCAAGGGTCAGCCAGGGGAAAGGCATGAACAAGGCTCAGATTACCGCTGCCATTCTAGCCAGGCCAGAAGGGATCGCCACCTCCCCCACCCGAAGCAAGAAGGTGGTCAGCCTTCAGTCTTTATTCCCTGTGCGCATACAGGGGGCAGCTCCCTGCTGAACCCCGAAGATCCCGGGGAGAGGGGAGGACTGGTGTCCGGGGTGACAGCTGCTATCAGCGTGGAGTCTCCAGCAGCGGCATGCTGATGGTTGCTTAGATGTTTGTTGGTTGCCATAGGGTCCTGGGCCAGCCGGATATTTTAGGGTCTCCGGGAGCAGTATGTTTCTGGAGGGTCCCGGCACGGCCAGAACGGAAGGACCCTCTCTGGGTCCTCCTATCAGAGCCTCAGTCGAGGTCTGGGGAGCCCTGTCTGAGATGCCATGCGCTTAGCACATGAGAATCCCACAGGGCAGTCGGCCCCTGTGCTGCCCGCCCGAGTGCTACTGATGGCACAGAGTGGCCGAGAAGCTGCTCTGGAGGGAGGACGGTGATCTTTTGTGCTGCTCCCCCCTACTCAGGTCCGCACTGCTCCAGGCACCCCGGTCGGCACGGCCAGGCACTGCCCCACGACTCAGTCTGTGCCCAGAGTCTAAGCCACC